TAGATATTTATGAGTTTTTGTCCCTACAATGGAAGAAATTGCGATAAACTAGGCACGTGAACAAATGTAAATTTTATATCACAAGAAATTGCGCAAGTGTATAATTGGACTTATAAATCTATTAAGATTGCATGTACAACTGATACATGGGCATGTACATGTAATTTCCTATTAGTTTTAAGACATGCTCGTTTGAAAAGCATGTATGTTTTATAATTGATTCTCATTTGTGTAATCAATAGAGCGAAATGCATAAACCAGCATGAATCTACAGAAAATAACACTGCGTTGATCTACAATGTCAAAATTCACGAGAAGACAGCATATAGGAATCGGCCAAACTTTTCTTTCATGTTTTAACGTAGCATATCAGGACTCATATTGGTTAAATAAAAATAGAATCTGGTGTCTTCATTTTGTTTTGTCTTATTAGATGGAATAAATGAAATGGGGTAAATAAAAACTGAAACAGAAATGTTCTTATTCAATATATTATAATGAATTGATTCCAAGACATTAAAATTATAAAATGAATAAATAACTTAAAAAACACGTTAAAAATAAGGAAAGAAGTTTAAGATTGTTAACTTCTCAAATAATATATATGTTCAATAGTTTGAAAGATTGTTAAAATTTTCAACGAAAAATAGGGCTGGAGCCACACAACAACTAACAAAATAATTAAGATGGTATTGATACGCTGCGCTCTGAGACTCTGTGCACCTACGATCTTGTTGAATTCCAAAAATTCGTACATAATCTTCTCGGAACTATTTTATGATACAAAGTTGAACAACTATGCATCAATACAAAAATGTTTGAACATATAAAGCAACGATTTGTACTTTTAAAGTATGCATCATGAAATATTTTTCATCGGAAACATTGTCTAATATGGAAAGATATAAGTTGTTTGAAACACGTTAATTGAAACAACAACAAACCAACAAAAAACAAAAAACAAACAAAACCCCTCAAAAACAAAAAACAAAAACCAAGAAAAAAGAAAAAAAATTCTGTCTCCTCAGGAAGTGCATGAAATATGGCCATTCATTATCAGAACAGTTATCTAAGAACATTATGAAAGTTTTGATGCCACACAGAACCTGATGCTATCTGTGTTTGTAATAAATATTCATGCAGATAAAGTGCACATTAAGCTCAGAAACTAATACACTTTACTTTTGTCTTTCTCTGGAAAGTATCAAATGTGTCGTGATGATAATTTTGATCACCTATAGACCATAAAATTTGTTTCTAAGAGCAAAATGTTAACAAACTGGAATCAAAAACCACAATAACGGTAACTGAACCAATTTCAAAACCGCACAAGATTCAAGGCAAAGCGCAGCTTTAGGACCAGAGAGTTACGTTTTAAGGAAACTGTAGCAGTACGCCAATTAAAAACTTTTTTGAATAATCAAATATAGCAGTTTTGTAACTTATGGATTAAAAAAGATGCTTTGGTTATTTTTAAAGTACAGGTATCATAGTAAATGTTTTTTTACAATGTTCTGAATGAGTCCTCGACATCGGCGTCTGATGGCGAATGTTGATATACGTCGATAAACATAAAAAAATTGTAGATTTATATAAAAGTCTTGATAATCTAAAAGCTTGAAGATAAGAAAATGTCTGCAGTCAATTCAAAAATTCATAAATTTATATAACAAACAATAAAACACACAACTTTAGTAATAGTTCAATTAGGATACAGAGACTCTCGAGAAATGCCAACATTGACTAATATTATAATCTGAGCCGCGTTATGACAAAACCAACATAGTGGGTTTGCGACCAGCATGGATCCAGACCAGCCTGCGCTTCCGCGCAGTCTGATCAGGATCCATGCTGTTCGCTTACAGACCCTATAACAAGTAGAGAAACTGATAGCGAACAGCATGGATCCTGAACAGACTGCGCGGATGCGCAGGCTGGTCTGGATCCATGCTGGTTGCAAACCCATTATGTTGGTTTTGTCATGACGAGGCTCAATTATATTAAAACTTTTAGGTATCGGATCATGTATTATTGGTAATGGAAAAATTGAAGACTATATCAAAGGAGCTACTGAGGTCAAAAAGCCAACAAACATAAATTTGAACTTTTTTACTGATCAAGTGATGTACTTTAAATGAAAAAAAATCTGCAAAAGATAATAATATATATAATCAAATTTAAATTGAAAATCGATTTTTTTTGTACGACATTTAGCAAGGTTTGAATGAAAATTTCATGTTGTAGTTATTTTGCAGAATAAAATACTTTTTCTGGGAAAACAAAATATAGTGATCTGAAAGTTTTCACACAAGATATTAATCCACACATACATCAAATGGTACACAAGTCTCGACAAAAATATTTTAAGGCGCTTCATGTCATTAAACCTCAATGGAGCACCTTAGTGAGTGAGTTATGTGACCTAGAGCATGAATATTATATGTTGAACGTGTTACAGCATGAAAGCTTGAATGTTTCATTTGTCACGCAATATTTACCCATCACTGCGGCTATATTGATTTTCTGTTTTATCTTTTTAATTGTTACAGGTATTGTTTCGTGTCTGATTGTTTTTTTACCTGTTCATCAAATGTAATCGATACAAGCTTTTTTGTTATTGCATTGCGTATTTTTTGTCTTATTATATAGTAAATTGCATCAGTTATTGACCCTTGTGCAAGCTCCCACATTTTTTATTCTGAGTCCTTCTGGGTGCTGGGTTGTGCCGGGGCCAGCGTTCTGTGGACGTCGCCTTGCCTTGTTAATCATTTTCTATCCAACTTAAATTGAGTCTGTTTTGTTAATTATTCAAATAACTGTTCTACAACTAACAACAGCAATTCCTGTTTTTTATGTCTACCTTAAAAACATGTTACATTTAGACTGAATTAAATGAAAAGACAACTGGCCCTGTATTCATAGGTTATCAAAAAGTAGATTTAATATTTGATTAGGTATTTTTATGCCCTTAATATGTTGCTTTGTTTTACTTTCAGTGGTAATTCAAATGTGATTTTAAAATTACAGTTGTCTTTTTTAAATTACCTTTTATATTAATGCAGTTATTTTATTATACAAAACTTTCTATCTTTACAAAGAATATGAGACAAATGGTACCAACGTACATAATGACTAAAGCAACCTTCAGGCTCTTGAAAAAGTTAAATATGTTATTTTTAGATCAATCGTTTCAAATAATCGTTACTCAAAAGAATGCAGGTGTAAAATGAAATTTACAATAAGGAAACCCCTCCGTACGTCTAATCTACCGGTCTTACCTACTTTAATCAGTATGTTGGTACCATTTGTCTCATATTCTTTGTAAAGATAAGAGATTTTGTATAATAAATCCATTGAATTAAATTAAATTTGAATTGAAAAATACCTGCCGAGTGGTGTTGGTTTAAACATATTTATTCAACAAAACATTTAACAAGAGAACAATATTAACAACGTACATTTTGGGATTGAGCAGAAAGCTATAAAGCTAATGAGAGTCTTCTCCCGAGTGGTGTTGTTGCTGACATTTATCAATTTTATTCGAGATTGTAATTACGTTACGATGATGTCAATGAATCGTAACATCACAAAGGAACCGATCAAAGGTCGTTGCGCATTTAGGGAAAATAATGAATTCTCTTTTAATCAAGAAAACATTACAGAGATATTATGTACCATTCCCAAGGTATGAATATGGAGTAGCCTTTTAGAAAGCGTTTCAAAATGGATCAAAGCCGTTGCTAATGTAAACAATCTAAATCGAGTATACATGAAGTTAAAGCATCATTACATTCGAAATACAGTTGTTCATAATTACTGAACTGCATTTTTCCATATCGAAAAAAAAAACCAACTGAATAAGGTGAAACATCGACAAGGTAAGCATGGTAAGGGCATAGTTCCTGAGCCTAGCCCTTCTAACAATTCGACGTTTAAAGCAGCTTCATTGAATTTTTTTGACATGAAAGGACTGTAAATATTGTTCCGAGATAAGTGTACCATTTAATGACTGTCCAATATCTTATGTGCAATGTTTCAGGTCAATCGCTCATCACGTTACGTTCCTTTTTTTAGACCGAAGGCCGTCTGATTTCACCTTCACTTCCGCTAGAATTAACAGTAAAGAAATGAATATAGGCAGAATTTCCATTGGTCATTTTAACACTAATAGCCTGTTCAATTGATACTTTAGAAGAGCTTCCGTTATAGGTAGAGGTCTGTTCGATTGCGCGATGGGAAGAAGTGTTGGAAAAAGATATAAGTCAGAATAAATATAAAAACAAAATAATGATATTTTCTAGATGTTTCTAACAGTTTTTCAATAAATATATGAAATAAAATATGACAGATCGCCTTTTTGATACTTTTGCGTTCGATTGTTTTTCTCTTCTAAGCTTTTCTAGTCATTAAATTCTCTTCCGAACTTTCGACTCATTTACAGTTGCAAAATTCTCCATTGAATTATTGTACAGTATCTACTAAATCTTTGTTTTATTATAAATTAAATATTCCTATTCAAATCAAATTCCATTTTGATTTTAAAATCAAATAATGTAAGTAATATTGTTTAAAACTTAGATGACAATTAATGGGGAAAACATTGAAACGATGAAACAAAGTTACTAGAGGATGCTAACTTTTATATTTTACTTACAGTCAGTAATAATAATGGACGATTAAGAAATAACTATGTCGTTTTGTTTCTCTGTTTCAAACAGGCATACACAATACGGGCACCATAACTCATATATAAATATACATAAAATAATGATTATCAAAAGATATACATGAGTCAATGTTCCCTAGAAATAATACAAATATGAATCGCTCCGCTGAGAGAATTGGAAATTATGTAGTCATTTTTATCCATAGTTTCCTGATAAAGCTTTCATCAAACAGAAAAAAAAACATTACCAACTGATGTTTTATTCATTGTTTTAGCCATCTAACTATGCGTGATAATAAGATATGGTGTAATCTTCGATTTTTAACGATCTTTTAGCAATGATCTAAAGCATTTCCAATCATTTATTAAACAGGTTTTAAAATGAAATATCTTGCATCACGATACTTCATCAGCGTTACCATAGACACGTGATCAACACTTTCAAACTTTACAGTCGTTACTTGTTCCCGATGTTATTTGTTCACGGAATCCAGCCACAGTAAGTTTGCTTTAGAATTTGTTTTTCTTAAATTTGTTTTTTCCTATTAAAAAGACAGTGTTTATGTAGTTTTACTTAATTTACAATTTTGATTGTAAAATAACAAAAATGAATATAGATAAAACAGATTTTATTTTGATAGCTATGAAATAAATTTCAAATAATAATTAGATAATTATAATGCAAATATCGTTGTATATTTTTAGGAGTGCATAGATATATGTTCTGTTTTTATTAATTAATTTATTTATTAATCTATTTATTTCAATCGAAATATTTGAAACAATAAACTATTCATTTATTAGCACTTTTGTTTGGTTATCAATGTTAATGTTCTATAAATACACATTTTCAGATGACTGCCCTGTACAGACTAGTTCTTATATGCATCTTCATTGAAAGGGCCTTTACGGGTAAGTTTTTTCTGTCTTTTTAGCACACCTGAGCATGCTCAGAGTGAGCTTTTAGGATCGATGATTGTCCGTCGCCCGTCCACATTTAGTTCGTTAACACTCTAGCGGTCGCATTTTTGCCTCAATCATCATCAAACTTGGTCAGGATGCTTATCTACTTGATAGTTTGGATGAGTTCGAACATGGGTCATCTCGGATGAAAAACTAGGTCACCAGAGCTTAAAATAGAAAAACCTTGTTAACACTCTAGAGGTAACAATTTTGCCTCAATCATCATCAAACTTGGTCAGAATGCTTGTCAAGGTGATAGCTTGGATGAGTTCGAACATGGGTCATCTCGGTTGACAAACTAGGTCACCGGAGCTAAAAATAGAAAAACCTTGTTAAGACACTAGCAGTCACATTTTTGCCTCAATCATCATCATCAAACTTGGTCAGGATGTTTATCTAGGTGATAGCTTGGATGAGTTCGAACATGGGTCATCTCGGATGAAAAACTAGGTCACCGGAGCTAAAATTAGAAAAACCTTAATAACACTCTAGCTGTCACATTTTTGCCTTTATCATCATCAAACTTGGTCAGGATGCTTGTCTGGGTGATAGCTTAGATGAGTTCGAACATAAGTGTCACTCCATGAAAAGCGGCATGTGGTCCCGAAGTAAAAAATGCGTTTGCAACAATGGGCGGAACTAGATAAAATGGAATATTGAATTGGGATCAGAGGTTATGAAGGCTGGCTATACCACAATTCATTAAACAAAGAAAAGTTTAGTAAACAAATATTCTATTCCTTCCTTTATTACAATTATGTCTATTCATAATCGCGTACTACATTATAAGGTCTGATATGACATTTTTCGTTTCTTTATAACATAGTGTCAATAAATTGCTACAGTAGAAAAAAGTACTTGCACATAAAATAAGAGAATATGCAATGAATATTTTATGACAAATTATCCTACCTAAATATTTCTATGAAAGCTGAATAAATTAAGATTAAATCTGCTTCAATATCATTATACCTGATCACGATTTTAATTAAAAACCGAGGTCTCACCGTCTGGTGTATAGATGCGAACTTATTTTGAAGTGAATAATATTGCGTTTTATCACGTACAAATTAACATAAATCAAATATCATACTACAAAGTTACGCAAGGGCAATTTTCTCATTCAATTTTAACAAATTATACGCACATGCATTATATATAAGTGATTTCGCACATAAAACCCTAAAAACATTTGTAAATGTTACTGTGTTATTGATATAATTTTACTATTTATATGTTCTTTACTTCAATTTTAACTATCTTTGAATTTTGTAAACTTGTAGTACCGCTCAAGCCGGTGCTAGGGGGCGTGAGGGATGTTGCACGCATTCATTATCCCTCATGTACAGACTCAATCAAACCGAGTCTGCAATTCTCTTGTAATCTTATTGTGATTAATGTTTCCGAGGGATCAACTTTGCTTCCAGATTTTTATATGATATTTTGTCAGAAACATCTTCCTTGATGTCATCGAGAAATATAACAATATCTTTGCCAAACGTTTTTATTCATAATTAATGCATGAATGCAGTTATTTGTTGCTTTTTTAAATACCATAATGTATTGAACTATCAAAGCGAAGCTTTAAAAATTTATATATACCAATCTGTATAAGGTAAACTCATTGGTCACTTTAGTGACATAATAGTTTCCTGTATACGTCGGTACCGTGTTTTTCCTAAGGTTCTGAATGACTGGGTCACATGAATCAGTGGGCGGAGCAATCTCTTCTCTGGCGTCCGTCCACATTTAGTTCGTTAACACTCTAGCGGTCGCATTTTTGCCTCAATCATCATCAAACTTAGTCAGGATGCTTATCTAGTTGATAGTTCGGATGAGTTCGAACATGGGTCATCTCGGATGACAAACTAGGTCACAGGAGCTAAAAATAGAAAAACCTTAATAACACTCTAGCAGTCACATTTTTGCCTCAATCATCATCAAACTTGTTCAGGATGCTTGTCTAGGTGATAGCTTAGATGAGTTCGAACATGGGTCATCTCGGATGAAAAACTAGGTCACCGGAGCTAAAAATAGAAAAACCTTAATAACACTCTAGCCCTCAATCATCATCAAACTTGGTCAGGATGCTTGTCTAGGTGATAGCTTGGATGAGTTCGAACATGGGTCATCTCGGATGAAAAACTAGGTCACCGGAGCTAAAGATAGAAAAATCTTGTTAACAATCTAGTGGTCACAATTTTGACTCAATCGTCATCAAACTTGGTCAGGAAACTTGTCTACGTCTAGGTCACGGGAGCTAAAAATAGAAAAATCTTGTTAACACTCTAGTGGCTACTGTTTTGATCCAAATATCCTGTAAATTGGTCTGAAAGTTTATTTGATGATTTCTAAGTCAAGTTTGAACATGGGTCATCTCGGATGAAAAACTAGGTCACACCGCCCAAATGTGGCAAAACCTTGTTAACACTCTAGTGGTCACATTTTGACTCAATTATCATCAAACTTGGTCAGGATGCTTGTCTAGGTAATTGCTCGGATGAGTTCGAAATTGCATGTGAAACTAGATCACCGGAGCTAAAAATAGAAAAATCTTTACACTCTAGTTGCTACTGTTTTGATCCAAGTATCCTGGAAATTGGTCTGAAAGTTTGTTTTGATGATATCTAGGTCAAGTTTGAATATGGGTCACCTGGGTAAAAAACTAGATCACACTGCTCCAATATGGATAATCCTTGTTAACACTCTAGTGGTCACATTTTTGACTCACCTGTCATGAAACTTGGTCAGAATGCTTGTCAATGTAATTGTTCGGATGAGTTTGATGGGTCACGTAAGCGATCTAGGGCCATCATGGCCCTCTTGTTTTCAAAAAGGGTCGCTATGAACAAAGTTAAAAACTGCATTGTGAATGCGCGAACCATTATTATTGGACCCATTTATTGCATAAATTACATATTACAGGGTCTTTCAAATAGAATTCTAGTTGAAAGAACCTGCTTATTATAATTGTTTTTTCTTGTGTTTTGACTGTAATAATTTTTGTTTGATATCACTGTGTTGTGTGCTGTAATTTCGTTTATGCAGAAAAAATTGAACCAAGATCTGCAAATTATGAACTATCATAGCTTTACAACGGCCCGTTGGACTTTTAAAAATTGAATGAGGCGTCCGGGTATTAAATACTTTAGGCCTTATATTCAAAATTTCGGCACTATACTAACTCAGGACGAAATTCAATTTACGGTAATACTTAACACATATAATAAATTGTTTATATGTGTTATCATGACAACCGGTGTTCTGTTATTGTTGAGTTTATTACACAAAAAGGAAGGAAAACACTTTCTGGCATGATTGTCCGATATGATTTGACACGGTCAAAACAACATAAAATTATGTCCAATATTCTTGTTTTTTATTATTATTATTATGGCAACATCATCAACATTTTAGTATAATGCATATAATGTCCTCACTGGCCTCCCTTGTATCACTTAGTCATGTATATATCATTCCAGAAAATATAACATACCATATATAAAGTCGCATTTAGTGAATTACTCGATTCAAAATTAATAGTTCACCATATTGCAATTAAATACCATTTAGAACACACACCTGTCTCCATCAACCAGTGTGACTTACGTTAATATTTTCTTAATTTACATGGTTTGATTGCAATGATTTAAAAAAGCTTCTTTTTTCCGCAGTCTCTTCAAAACAAACGTTTGTGCATGAACACCAAAAATGTTTTCCTATATAAGAAATTGTAGTTAATATATCGTACTTGAACCGTCATTTACCCATTATCGCTTGCGATGACATTATCATATTTTGAAATCATCTATCCGGCAAAGACACGCAATTATGCTGAATTACATTGTTGACTGCTAAATTAAAAATCATTGATTGTCTTGGCAGTTGTCATTACGCCTTTCTAGATACTTAGTTAGAGAGGTGTCGGTGTAGCGTGAATAATTGGCTGATGGTGAAGAAAATAAATAAATAGTGCCGTAAAGATAACAAGTTATACTTTGTTCAATAATTTCCAAAGGCAGTAAATCTGAACGCATATGTCTTCCCAGTTAAACAAAAAAAACGTGATAGTTTGTCGAGTAATTGCACAATGTTTGATCCGTAAAATAGATGAAAAGTGATTCTTGCGCGGTGAAATGAATATTGTTACGTCCGGTACATGCATTATCAACTTGATTTTCTATCGATTTTGCGGAAACAGACAAAAATCAATAAATGAGCCGTGCCATGACAAAACCAACGTAATGGGTTTGCGACCAGCATGGATCCAGACCAGCCTGCGCATCCGCGCATTCTGATCAGGATCCATGCTGTTCGCTTACAAATCCAATAAAAGTAGAGAAACTGATAGCGAACAGTATGGAACGCCGTGACTGTCTTATGTAATCAATGTTTTTGTTATCTTGTGAAACGATGATATTATTTTGTCGTTTGAGCATGTTAACATGTGCAATTTACATCATGTCTTGTCAAAGGAACATGCTGACTTGTACAAACAGCATGTTAACTTGTCAAATTATTATGATGACATGTGCAGACAACATGCTAACTTGTCAAAGTATCGTGATGACTTGTGCAAACAACATGTTAACTTGTCAAAGTATAATGATGACTTGTGCAATTGACATAGTAACTTGTCAAAATTTCATGATGACTTGTGCAAACGACATGTTAACTTGTCAAACTATTGTGATGACATGTGCAAACAGCATGTTAACTTGTCAAAGTGTCATGATGACTTGTGCAAATGCCATGATACTTTGTCAAAGTATAATGATGACTTGTGCAAATGACATGTTAACTTGTCGAATTATCGTGATGACATGTACAAACAGCATGTTAACTTGTCAAAGTATCATGATGACTTGTGCAAACAGCATGTTAACATGTCAAATTACCATGATGACTTGTGAAGACAACATGTGAACTTGTCAAAGAATCTTGATGACTTGTGCAAATGACATGTTATCTTGTAACATGCTGACATGTCAAAACGTACTGTTAACTTGTCAAAGTATTATGATAACTTGTGCAAATACCATGCTAACATGTCAAAATTCCATGATCACATGTGTAAACAGCATGTTAACTTGTCGAATTATCGTTATGACATGTGCATACAACATGTTAACTTGTCTAAGTATCATGATGACTTGTGCAAACGACATGTTAACTTGTCCAAGTATAATGATGACTTGTGCAAATGCCATGCTAACTTGTCAAAATTTCATGATGACATGTGCAAACAGTATGTTAACTTGTCAAATCATCGTGATAACATGTGCAAACAACATGCTAACTTGTCCAAGTATCATGTTGACTTGTGTGAAAGCGACATGTTTACTTGTCAAAATTTCATGATGACATGTGCAAACAGCATGTTAACTTGTCAAGGTATCATGGTGACTTGTGCAAACTCCATTCTAACTTGTCAATGTATCATGATGACTTGTGCAAATGCCATGTTAACTTGTCAAATTATCATGATGACTTGTGCAGACAACATGTTAATTTGTCAAAGAATCGTGATGACTTGTGCAAAACACATGTTAACTTGTTAAGGTATTATGAGCATGTCATCACGATAACTCGACAAGTTAACATGCTGTTTGCACATGTCAGCATGAAATTTTGACAAGTTCACATGTTGTTTGCACAAGTCATCATGATATTTTGACAAGTTAACATGTCGTTTGCACAAGTCATCATGATATTTTGACAAGTTAACATGTTGTCTGCACATGTCATAACTATTATTTGACAAGTTAACATGCTGTTTGAACAAGTCAGCATTGTCTTTAGACAAAATATGATGTAAATTGCACATGTAAATATGCTTAAATGACAAAATAATATCATCATTTCACAAGATAGCAAAAACATTGATATCATAAGACAGTCACGGCGTTCCATAGAACAGTATCGATCCTGATCAGACTGCGCGGATGCACAGGCTGGTCTGGATCCATGCTGGTCGCAAACGCACTATGTTGGTTTTGTCATGGCACGGCTCAAATGTCTATTAGCAGTGGGTAGACCACAGACAATCAAGATCTATCATTAACAGTTATGTTACAATGTTAGCTGTACTGTTGTTCCATTTTTTGTAAACTTCCTTTTTTAAAACACAATGCCTGCTCAGCTTTTATTAAATGCATTTTCAAACGGTGAACATTTCGAAAACTTGGAAAATTTCAGCCAGTATACTTCAATGTTCCACAGCAGAACATTACAGTAAATAAATTGCGAAAGTGTTCAATATTAGTGACATATATTGTATTAGTATAGTGTATAAAGTACTTTCAAAATAGTTTTTAAAATTAGAAAAAAAACTGTCTTTCTTTAAGTTTTCTTTTTAAATATACATGATCATTCAACCTGTCAATATGTTTTTTTACATAAATAATTAAATAACAATTATTCTGTTCGATCAAAGTACAGCATTAATTATCACATTTGCAAGGAGAACAAAGACTCATTTTGATTCGCTCATTTTCAAAATGACGTCATAATCCCATAATGTATGACACAGTTTAGGGCAGTTTAAAACTTTCTAAATGCTGACCTAAGTGCGACCTTGACCTTGGAGTAAGAGGTCTAGGTCTTGCGCTTGACACATCGTTTCACTCACTATGCTCATCTTTGTGGCCAAATGGCAACGAAATCGCAATATGCATAACCGAGTTATTTTTCACTAATTAACCTTGACTTTTAATAGTGACCTTTACATTTGTCGAGGGATCTAGGTCTTGCACATGAAAAACCGTCGCATCATGTTCAACATTTGTACCGAATTGTTACAAAATATGGATGACAGAGTAATGATTGAAAATGTAAATGTCATCATAAATATGTTGATGTCTAATATTGACCTCTGAAAGACCATTTAGTAATCTAGGCAATGTGGGTTGATTAAGCTTTAGCGATTGTTTTTAAAGAGATCATACCAAAAAAAACTTTCGGAGAGAATACTAGCTGATTTTTTTTGCGACTGATTTTTCCGTAATCAATGCAATATTATGGAAAAAGGAAAAGATTGAGCTCTTTTCGGACGCTGAAATCTACAATTGAGAAAAAAAGTTATTTTGTTTTATTTTTAAAAGAGTTTCATATAAAATCTACCTTTTATCAATTTCAGCTAATATTGATGAATCATGCGCAAACAATGATGCATGTACTGTTTCGAATTCAAAATGTGTGAAAGACTACTCAAATTGTGACAACGGAAAGTGTCGATGCAACAGTGGTTTCACATCGAACACCGCGAAAACATCGTGCTGTAAGTAAAACCAAGTAGCTGAGTTCTGATCTTAAAAACGGGTAAGAACAAAAAATGTCAAACTATATTTCTATCCAAGCTATTCAGGTACGAACAACAACAAATGAGAGACTGTTTGGTAAGTTGATATGTCGGAAGTTATTATCATTATAGGGCATTATTTACTTATATGTTACCTGTTTGTAAGTGTAAGATATACAATATCCTTACGAAGTTATAACTTAAACAAGGTTCAGATAAAAATTCTTTTCTCTCAATTACAGCTCTCATGGGATTTTAAATGTGTTTTTAAATACAACTTTTGTTTCTGTGTACTGTATTTTCTTAGCAACAAAAAATTATATCATCCAGTTTTTTTTTAAATACAACTTTTGTTTCTGTGTACTGTATTTTCTTAGCAACAAAAATTATATCATCCAGAGATTATCATTTATCATAATAATAAATTTCTATAAAATGTCTTATTTTTCTATTTTACTTGTTGTTAAATAAGAATGAAAGTAAAAAGCACATACAGGATGGGTGATCACGTGAAATCTGTTTACGGTCTCTGCTTATAGTATTTGATAACTTTCAGCTAATAAATATACACCATGTTCCAGATAATTTTTTACCGATTCCAATGGTACATATTTTTCCAATGTAGCTCTTATATTTTTTCCGATATGCTTGTAGACATTGTAACACACATTTTCATCAAAATATTGCCACATATAAAGTACGGTAACAGTAAAAGAGCAAAAATGGAAACTTCGGGATCGTTGATGCCAGCACTATTAAGTGTTGAGAATTGAGTATCGCTTAAGCCGGTGTTAGGGGGCGTGAGGGATGTTGCACTTATTCATTATCCCTCATGTACAGACTCAATCAAAACTTGTTCATGTGATTTTGTTGTGATTAATGCTTTGGAGGGATCACTTAGTTTACAAATTTTTATATACCCCGGAAATCTGCAAATAGTTGCCCAAAAACATGGTATATATTTACCATACAAATGTAGAAAGAAATAAGGAAACATTAGCAAATACCATAAGCAATGACCCATTTGTACCATTTACAAATGTCACGTGATCACCAATCCTGACACAGGGAGTACAACTCGACAAATTATTTCAGTGACAAACAAGGAGTTAGACGAAGCTTGCTCTGCAACCACGCATTGTTTGTATGGAGCTGAATGTAACAGCCAATCTAACCTGTGCAAGTGTCCGTCCGGACAAACGTACAGCAGCATGTTGAAAATGTGTGTCATAACTGGTTTAAAGGCTATTACTGAGGAATGTTCGGCAGACACCGAGTGTTATGGCTACACCAGCTCTAACAGCAGTGGGTTTTAAACATTCTTGATACTTTTTTTGCCATAAAAATGTTGTTGTTTTTTTTTGGTTATTTAATGAGTTGTTTTTTTCGGTTATGTAATAAGCTATTTTAGCTTCAGGATCTGCTTATAATAAAAGTGAGAGCAGAAAGTCGGTAATGTGACAAATTTATATAAGACTTAAGAGTACATCACATGCTTTCTCCAATGTTTGCGAAGGAATAGGAGTTTCTAGCACAGATTATTCTGATACCAATTAATGAAGGATTTAGTCAGTTTAATTTTTTTTCCAGAGGTTGAGTGTGTTGTGGCATCCGGCTCATCGTCGAGTACAAAGTACTGCACTTGTAAAGCCGGTTATATCACAGAAAACAAAATGTGCAGAGTTCGTGAGTATAATTGTTTCACCTAATAAAATTATTTTAGATACAAACATACATTCGTGAATATATGAATAAGTACTTATTTATATATGCGCATATTTTGCCATTGTAAAAGTACATAATTTTTTCCCCACTTTGACTTATCATACATCAACCCATGTGTCATGACAGATTATCATGTTTTGCGTTTTATTTGCACGTGACATATCGTGCGTTGCTGCAAGCACTATTTGGTGACCTCCACTAGCATCAAGTGACGTTTATATGGTACCATCTGAATTCTATACATTTTGATAGCTCGTATAAATTCTGCCAGCTAGGCAGGCTGCTTTAGTTTTACTGAGATTCTCAAGCAACATCATATTTTGAGCCAAGTTACATTTACTGTTGTGTAGTAAATATAATTCCTAAAACTTGACAAAAACAATGTAAAGATGTTCATGCATTGTACGATTCCTTGTTATGTACGTTTAGTTACATTTCCTATCAAGGAATTAGTGTAGGTGAAAATTGTTGAAAATATTAACTTATGCATGCATACATGTGTGTATAAGTACGTAAGAAAATTGCCAAACTCATCGCACCGGATTTATTACGCTATGCTGCCCATGACGATGATTATATCGTGTGCCCAAAGTTGGCGGCTATCTTATACATAGTGTAGATTTCCAGATTGCCCTTAGTTGGTAACGTTTAATTGAGAGTATAGTAGGCAGGATACCTGACTATTTCGGCCATTTTCGTAATTTTCGTAAAACAGGGCAAATGATTTCTGTTACTTAAATCTTTTAATAAAGTTGTCGTCGTGTGCCGCAACCAGTCCTTTCAGTGCTAATTTGAATCGTTGTTAATCACGAGAAGTGTTTAACTTTGTGACATATAAAAAGTTTCAAGATAAATGCATTGCCTTTATTATATTTACGTATAAATTATTAAGCAATTATGTTTTACAATGATCAGAAACCATTTTTCGAGACATCCTTTTCATGACCTGTCAGGTTTACTTAGTAAAATACATTAATTTTGTCATACAAAAATTAAAAGTTTCATTTCTTCCATTTTAAAAGCGCATGCAACTGAAGCTTGTACAACAGCTGTAGGATGCACTAAACATGTTGACCTCGGTAGCAACCAAGGACAGGAGGCAGAGACCTGTGTCAGTAGTGTTTGTACATGTCCAAGCACATCCGATAAAGTTTCAAGGGAGTATAGCGGTACAACATACACACTTTGTTACAGTAAGTATTCCATTTAAGTACGTAAAGGTTATACGACTCGTAATATAAGTCCGCAACATGAAATAAAGTAAAGTGTGTTAACATTTTGTTCATAAATGTGTTCAAGCTAAAAGTTCTGTATTTTGACATTGCATCTGAAATGGAGATTGTGGGAGGAGATAAAAGATATTGTTTCGGGGAGTTTAATCTGATTCGTTTCATCATCGCTCATCGATTAAATGATTCGTGGATATTTTCGTGTGGTTTGCGTATGCTAATGTCTACCTTACCTAGCCAAAGTCTATGTTGTTCGAGCTAATACCAGTCGGGCCATGTTTTTAAGTAGTCTAAGATACAAAACTACGAATATCTTTACAGTTATTACACCCTGTGACATATAGATTGATAAATAAATTGTCGAAATATCTGGATCATTAGATGATTCAAGTGAATAAAATGTGTACATTTTAGAGCGGGCAAGACAGAAAATACACTTTAATAAATATGTCCCTTTAACAATCAATAAATGTTTGGCACTTACAGTATTCATTAATAATGATAATGATCTGTTTAAAAGGGGGTTAAACTATATTGTTGAGTGTTAAAGTTTTGTTGCATATGTTACTGTGAATTGAGCAATATCATTTTACAGCAAAATACACATCAAAGAAGGCGTCAGGAATTACATGCACACAAAGTAACCAGTGTTCGTCGCTTTTCTGTGACTCGTGTCCTGGAGAGACAGCAAAGAAATGTTTGGTGCTAGGTGAGTGTTGTACAACTTATATTCTGATGCCATTAAGGTTAAGACACGATTCTGTGACACTCAAATCGACTCGTTTTTTATAATTATATAGTAACTGCTGTGTTATTAAATATATTAGTAACATATTTTTTCACCTTACATACATGATAGTCTTGTAGAACACATCAAAGGGGAAAAAGCACTGCGTACACTCATCAAGCTTCTAGGGCGGTTTTGATACTGCTTGATAACAAAATATTGAGTGTCCAATGATCACATGCCACTTGGACGCTTTTGATGTAAAGTTAATTTTTAAGCCACTCAGATATATCCACTAGAATGGGTTTGATACTACGTGATAGCAAATATCATTCCAAGCATAAAAAAAATGATAAAAAGGTGTAATACAAACTAAAAGATGTTGATACTTACTTACAAAGTAAAAAAGCACGGGAGTCGTCTTTTGCTCTTTGGCAATTTGTATTATTATAGTGATTTTTATTATCTTGTATGGAAATCAAATTCTTTTTTTTGTTTCAGTTTTGCTACCTTTAATACACATTACTGCATGATTACGACTTCTTTCATCAGTGGTTTAACAGCTCTAAGCCCATTTTTTAAGCATTATTAAACACATGTTTGTCCTTTCGAAACAATTAAAGATATTGACTTCTGAGGTATAACGTAACAAGAAAAATGTAACAAACAACATTTCATTAACAATTCTTAACTCTTGCTACATATCAACATTTTCCTGGAACGATTTGTTATTACAGATTAATGATTATTTTCATACTTTTATAAACAGCATCGAGCAATACAGCAGTGGCAGTCACAAGTTCCATGGCGGTACTCGTCTTTGCAGTTGGTATCACTCGCTATATGTTTTAAATGCAGCAATGATCGAAACAAAGTGGGCTGAAATTTGGTACGTTCCTTGGGTTTACCGGGTGTCTTTTCAAATAACATATATATTGCTGATAAACAAACGTTCTATGTTTCCCTATGATATGACACACAGGTCACGTGACATCAGGGTTACATTATAGTCACAAGATTAAATAATGGCCATTTTTCATACCATCAGGTCATATAGTAATTGAACCATTCGCGTGTCCGTACGAGGTTAACCTAAAAGGCAAGTCGAATTTTACCTGTAACAATGTAGCTGTATGTTTACACTCATTTTTTTACTGTAATACTGTATAATTTTAAATTGTGGTTGTGAATAATTAATCTTATATTCTTTTTATTATTGTAGAAAAAAAAACCTTCAAGGCAACTTATTTTCTTAGTTTCAGGCTGATATTCTAAGAAAGTACATCGACATGAGACTGCTATCCTCGAGATTGATTTATCAAAATTTACATGTGTTCCTATAAAACTTTTATACAATATGAAAATATGCTTAAATTAGACAACTTGAAGCAAAGTTTTGGAAATATTGGTGAAAGATTATCATAACATTTTATTATATACCCGTAAGTTAAGATTTATAACACGTCAGAAAACTATGAAATACGAATGTTTTTTTCTCTCAGATGTTATTATGCAAAATGGTTGTCTGGTTGTTACAAACGGTCACACCAAATTCGAAGTGTATTTTTAAACCATTCTGAAAACAAAATTTCGTATGCATTTCTTAAATAAGAAAACAAAAAATGTAATAAGAAGCTACTGCATAATTTAAAAAAAATCACAAATAAAAAACAACTAAATGATAATTTGAGGTGTAATTTGGATTAACCGATGGATAAAAATACATTTTTTTTAAAAAGTGCAATATTTGACAAAGCAAAATGCTAAACATATTAAACATTAGAGGCCCATAAAGTCCAACAATTAACAATTATGTTAACTCATTTCTGGAAATTTTAATGGTATTTTTATTATTAGCGTTATTTTACAATTTCCGACACAGAACCTGTTGCCCATATAACTGAATTATATTTTTGCTTTTAGGCTTTTAGTGAAGTTATAATAGTTTTTTTGTACGGAAATTAAAAGTACCAGTTAGTTTACGTTTGTTTGCGTATTTCTACATTAATGGCATTTTTTCGCATTTTCGCTACTTTCTGCACGTAGAACACGTATTAGTTGCAATAAAATATTATTAAACTTATACAGGTACATGTACATGGATTTGAAGATTGTCGTGTATTAAAACATTATATAAAACGCCTTCTCTTCAGAAGAAATATTTTAATAATTTCTCAGGCTTAATGTGCCTTTAGGAAAATCTTTTATTAAATATATCCATCTTTATACGACATTTACATTTATACAAATCAGCCATTTAAAACCTATTCTGAAAGCATTTACGTAATTTCATGACATATTCCCAAAATTTAAGATATTGATTATTAAAATTAACTTAACTTTCAGACATGTATCTACATTCAAAGAATTATCTGCAGTTTAATCATGTTGTTTATAAATAACCCCTTTAAATTTAAAAATACGTATTTAATGGTCGCTTGCTTGCCATTTGTATTTTTGCTTATTTTTATATTTTTACAGATAGTTATTCTTATGACACACAATGTACTCAAAACGTTGTAGTAGTATATATCAGGAGACGGTTATATGAAGTAATTATGCTTATTGTTTGACAATATTGACCTGCTACTCATTAACCGTAATTTATTATGATTTACGCTTAGGAGTGTAATGATAGTATAGATCTCGATATTAAATCAATTAATAATGCTCGGTGGCCTAGTGCTAAGGACGACGAAGTTGTAACCTAGTTGTCGCAAGTCCGAATCTTGGACAAATCCTTTTTGTAGTTCCATTTATTTCTTATAATTATAAGAAACGCGAGTTGATAAATCGTGTGTTTCATTTCTTTTTATTTCATAATTTTAATTAATTTATTACAATATGTGCGACTTTACATACTATTTTAAGTGATTTGCATGCACAGCACATAATGGTCAAGTTTTGCAAAATATAAAAGAATTAATACAAGAAAAAAAGACACTTGATCCGAACCTACAGTCTTCAATTTGAAACCAAGTGAAAGGTAAATTCTACTTTATACATAATACCGTCCTACCATACATTAAAATCAGTATGGCTTATTCGGAATCTTTTAATTGCCGAGACAAAAGTCCTTAAATATTAAAATGTCTTCTGTCAATATTGTCAAACAATACTGTACATTTTCTAGGCCTTTCGTGCGTGACCCGATCTTCAGAAGAAGTGTTAAACTAATCTACAGTCAACAAATACAGTGTATATTATCAGAATTAGTGATTATTACATTTATGTATATCATATGACCGTCTCTTTATGTCAAATTGTGTTGATATATTGATAATGAAGCGATGAACTTTGCTGATATATAAAAAATCTGTATCACCATAATATGACAGCAATGTTGTAATAAATGTGAAAACAAAATGAAGTGTTTATTTTAAATTTGTAAATAGATTATGCCTTAATAAGATATAACAAGATGTCCGCTAGGCGGAGCATTTTATGCCTGAAAGTTATTTTTTTAGTTAGGGTGAAGCATTTGTAAGACATGGGAATTAAATAATTTTATTATGACGTATGGACATAAAGACGCCAGGGATATAACATAATATAAGCCAATTTTTATATAGTAACTGCTGTGCTATTAAATATATTATTAACATAATAAATGTACTCAATATTATAAATTATGTAGGTTAATTAATACTTAAGTTATTGAAGAAAACCGTTTTCAGTTCTCTTGACCTTATGACCCCCCCAAAATAGGGGTCTTCTACTAAATATTGACAATCATCCTATGAAGTTTGAACTCTGTGGGCCAAATGGAACTTAAGTTATGCTCCAGAAACCACAATTTTTAGTGTAAAATCATTGTGACCCTGACCTTTTACCTTATGGCCCCAAAATCAATAGGGGTCTTCTACCCAATATGGACAATCATCCTATGAAGTTTGAATATTGTGGGCCAAATGGAACATAAGCTATGCTTCAAAAACTGTTTTCAGTTTCAATGTCATAGTGACATTGACCTTTGACCTTGTGACCCCAAAATCAATAGGTGTCTTCTACTCAATATGGACAATCATCCTATCCTATAAAGTTTGAATATTGAGGGCCAAATGGAACTTAAGTTATGCTCTGGAAACTGTTTTCAGTGTTAAGGTCATAGTGACCTTGACGTTTGATTTTGTGACCCCAATATCAATAGTGGTCTTCTACCCAATATGGACAATCATCCTAATTATGAAGTTTGAAGATTGTAGGCCAAATGGAACTTAATTTATGCTCCGGAAACTGTTTTCAGTTTTAAGGTGATAGTGACCTTGACCTTTGACCTTTTGACCCAAAAATCAATAGGGATCTTCTACCCAATATGGGCAATCATCCTATGAAGTTATGAATATTGTGGGCCGAATGGAACTTAAGTTATGCACCGAAAACCAAATTGATAACGAACGGACGGACGGACGTTTTTACCAGAGCAACATTATGGGATTTTCTTTTGTTATTTCTTTTGTTCTTTTTAACCCCACAATGCAGAAAATAACCCCACAAGAGAAACGGAATGAATGACATCAAAGACATCTATTGTTATGATGACAATAGACCAAACCTCATAATGTATCTCTGGTTTGTACGGACAGATAGCCAGACAGACGGACGCTAGGGGGTATAACATAATATGCCCGAAATTATTTCAGGCATATACAAATTAAAGCAATAAAGACAAATACGGGGAAGCAACGGTCTAGGAATACACCACCCCCTCGCCAACATTATTCAGCTGAATGCAAGGTATCTGCATCAAAGCGTTACGCAATTTACGTACACATATAATCGGCTTTAATACAATACACACTGATACATCTTTGCCTGAATCTAACACAGAATCGCGTTTCCAAAGCTTCAGCAATTTGATCGGTTATTGTAAACAAGCGGTCTAAAAAAGCTAATCTTTTCTTTGAAGTTTGACGTGGTCTGTTTGGTTACAGAATGTAATTTGCATTTTAGTAAATAACAAAATCTCCCTTGATATTTCATAAATGAATTCGTGTACTTTTAAAAAGTTGCAGATACTTTGTAGCAGGACACACACACGCACGCACGCACGCACGCGCGCACACACACACACACACACACAAGAGCCATAACTCAGCACGAAAAACGTGTTTGATATGCGCAAGTACTTGATGTACTGATCAATCGTTCAAAGTTTCATTTAAATTGCAATAAAATCATAAGAGAAGTCCGAACAAAACTTTGGAAAAAAATTTAATAAAGGGTCTTAACTCTGACAAAAATCACTGAACGAGAATATGCTGACTATATGCACAATTAGACTTAGTACTTGTCATTCCTGTAAAGTTTTGATGATATTGCATCAATAGTTTCTGATGAGTAGTCCGGACAAGTTTTATGGACAGATAGACGTACAGACGGATGGACAAACAAACAGACAATTACAAAATGTGATTCTTATAAGTTGTGGGTATTGTGTAGCATGTACAAGCTTCTGTTAGCTTGCAAAAAGGCCAAAGCGCCTTTTTTATTCAAGACCATAACTCAGCCTAAAATCATTCAAGTAAAAAACCCATGTAATATTCGCAAGCACTTGAGTTACCAATCAATCCTGTAAAGTTTCATTGAAATCGCAATAGTGGTACAATAGGAGTAGTCAGGACAACCTTAAACAAGAGTTGTCAGAGGACAGCAATGCTCGACTATTCGACAGAGTTGTCACAAGGATGTTTCAAAGAATATAAAAAGGGGGCATAAATATGTAAATAAGTAAATCAGAGTTATGGGACCTGTGCCAATCATGTTAAAAAATTACAGTGAAAATGTATGCTAAGTTTCATTCCATTCCCTTTAGTAGTTAAGAGATACCAGCTTACAAGCAAAAAGTTAACCATGAGTTCCATTGAATATAAAAAAAGTGACATAAATTTGAAATTAAGCAAATCAGAGATGTCCGATAACAGCATGTTCGACAACTAATACAGTTATCAAAATAATGGCATTAGACTAATAGAAAAAACATGGATTGAATACAGGTTTACCTTCGACATACCAGCACTCTACCTGTGCGCTAGCCCGTCTGGTTTAGTGGAAATGCATTTTATATTTATCAGAATATTATTATGAGCATGACTTATGAAAAGAAGTTTGAAGTACTGCAAGTGAAAATTTAAATATTTATTCAAAATGATGCAGTTATATATGAAACAACTGGTACTTTTTATTAGCATTTTTGAATATACAAAATGGAAGATGCCGCCATAAGCTTAAGTTACCAATAAGAATCTAAATATCATAAAAGCAAATAAACATTTGAACAAAGCAAAAACACTTTTGAACAAAGTACACTTTCGGTCAAATTGCAATGTATAAAGATGTAAAATAATTATGATAGCATAAGTACTTCTATACACAAGAGTACACATTAATTATAAAAAGGCCTTTACCTGTGAACAAAAATGTGTAAAAAGTATAAATTATCAGGAACCCTTACAAGTCAGCAGTTTTGTAATGGACGTGTTGGAATTTGAATGGACAGTCATGTTAGAAAAGGAAATGTATTGAGAGAAAAATACCTTGGGAAATGATAATGATTGTTCTGTAATAATTACTGCACCTTCATGTTGATCTAAATATAAAGTTCAAAAGGGGAGAAAATCAGCCTAAATGCAAGATAGAATTATGGATCTTGGTCAGTGACCTACAATAATGACCCGAAATGCATATGTGAAGTTTTGAATGAACACTTTGATAGTTATTGAGATATGTAATACTTGCATGTAAAAACATTAACCAAGAGACTAAGTAGAAAAGGAGAGATAAATCAGTCTAACTGCAAGATAGAGTTATGGAAGTTGGTCAGTGACATACAATTATGACCCTTTATGCATATGTGAAGTTTCAAATCAAAATCTCTGATAGTTATTTAGATATGGAAACACTAAGTAAAAAAGAGGGAGAAAAATCGGCTTAAATACATGACACAGATATGAGTGCTGTTCAGTGATAATTATTTATGACCACAAATATACATTTGTTTGTATCTTTTATAGTTTCAGAAAGTGCAAAACTAGCATGTAAAACTTAACCAAGAAAAGGAGATTTTTTAGTACAGAAGGGAGCATAATTCAGTCAAAATACATGGCAGAGTAATGAATCTTGAGATTGACCTTCAATTATGACCCTAGGTACATGTGTAAAGTTTCAAGTAAATAGCGTTGAAGACCTTAAGTCAAACTTTAACCAAAATTTCTAAGTTTCAAAGGGGTATAATTCTGAAAATATTACAGGCAGAGTTATGCAACTTTGCAAACTGATGTACATTGTTACTGTTAAAAAAGTATTGCAAATGTCAATTGGATATCTCAAGCAATAATTGAGATATTTGACTTTTCATAAATCTTAAATCAAAATTTCTAAATTAAAAAGGGACATAATTCTCTAAATATTGTAGGCAGAGTTATCCAACTTGTCAATCTGATGTACATTGTTACTATAAATAAGTATTGTAAGTTTCAATGGAATATCTCAAGCAATAATTGAGATATTTGACTTTATAAAAAACTTTAACCAACGCAGACGCCGACGCGGACGTGGGTGCCGAGGGCGACTGAAATAGCTCTCCAGCTAAAAAGAAAAGTAATTTAAGGGTCATAACCCTAACAAAATTCATTGAACCGGAAAAAGCGCACGATATTCACATTTGACGTGGTACTGATCATTCCTGTTAGATTTGGATGATATTTCACCAGTAGATTCAAACGACGGAGAAGTGATCTTTATGTCGCAGATGGCAACACAAAAATAATTTACAGGCCAAAAACAGAATTTTTCATTCAAGAGCCATAACTCAGCATAAAATCTTTAAAGTGGAAAACACGTATTCTATGCGCAAATACTTGAGCTTCCGACCAATCGTGTAAGGTTTCATTTAAGTTGCATTAATCGTATAAGAAGAGCAGTCCGGAAAAAAATTCAAACGTAAAACTCATTTACAAGAATCACTAAACGATATGCACATCAATACTTTGTACTGATCCTTCCTAGAATGTTTATTAAATGAAATTGCAAAAGTAGTTTCCGAGGACTAGTTTGGACTAGCTTTTGTGTAGCTGGCGACACAAAAATTATTAACAGCCAAAGCACCAATTTGATTCAAGGGCCATAACTCTCCCAAAAATCATTCAAACGTAAAACCCGTGCAAAATATGCAAGTACTTGAGCTACTAGTTAATCCTGTAAAGTTTCACTGAAATCGCATTAGTGGTAAAATAGGATAAGTCCGGACAATCTCTAAAAATAAAAGTTTATAAAGGGCCATTACTCTGAAAAAAAATCATTTCTGTAAAGTTTGGATGCAACTGCACAATGTTATCGCAGAAAAGTTCTGTAGCAGGCGACCAAAAAGGACAAAATAACGAACTAGTTTTTATTTTTTATTTACAAGTAGTAATTTGTCTATATATATTAATCTCTGGGAATATATTACTTTTTTCTATATTTATATATATATATATATATATATTTCATCTGTTTCTATAAAAATAGTTTTCTCAATAATCATAACCATCCTCGTGTAGTCCTTGTCAAAACAATTATCACACAAAACATGGATGTTGTGGAGAAGTCACGTATACCTGAAATGAGATTACAACAATATTTTCAACTGAATGTATAGAACAGACTGTGAGTAATATGTGGCTGCCTTAAAATGTACTTAATACTTTGTTGTTTATGTATTTTCCTGGTCATTCAAGTTTAACGATTCAAATCAAATTTTGAGATTTGAAAAGTTCAAAAGGTACAAAGCTACATTGGGCTGATTATTTGATTAAATGTACGCCAAAATAACTAAAGGAAAGAAACACAAATGCCCCCGGCCAAGATTCTTGTCTATAACATTTTTAAGAAAGAGTTTACCCGTTCACTCATAAAAAGTGCAAAAATAAAGTAAAGAAAAGAAAATGTAAACACTTTTATATAACTTGACATGACGTGTTATTATTACGAAAAATATAAGTTGACATGTCATTGCTGTTTGATGATGCAGAAGTTGAAAAATATTTAACATACAAATAAAAATTCATCACTTATATATAAATGAAAGACCTTGACCTAGAACCTAATGACCCCAACCTCCATCTTACTAAGGAATGTTTCTTCTAAACATGAGATATCGGTAAAGAAATACAAAGGCTGTATAAGAAAAAGTGTAAAAATATATATTTTTATTGTTATTCTTATGTCAACTAATATTTATTTAACTTACGAAAGGAGAAAAGTTAATTACGCTTTCAACCACAACAAAAAAAATCAAATGAAATAGTGTTGGTAAAAAAAAGTTTTCAAAAATGTGTTGTTTTTTTCAATTGATAAATTATCAAAAAGTTTATCATACATTTTAAGGTCCCGCTAGTGTATGCCTCAGTTACATACAGCAAGTTGCTTATTGTCACCGGAAGTACCGATCTTGGTCGCCTTGACGCTCTCATTTGAACGCTTCTTTTTTCTCGGCTACATGTCGTCTGTAAAAATACATGTATTTAAATTTAAAAAAATATTTGAAACCTGTTATTATTTAGACGACTTGATTATTATTTCTCCAAAGAGATTTAGTAAATGGGCATACATATATTCGTAAAAGGTATTACTTTTCTGTTCTTTTTGTGTTTTTTTTTGTTTTTTTTTTTGCTACTTGTGCAGTTTTTCGATGTTTATGTATGTATAGTTATAAAGTCATGTTTTTGTTTTTACTGTTTAGGTGTATCTCAACAAAACCAAAATAAAGAACACATCTTTAAAAAAAGGGAATTGACAAAACAATATCTTTAAAAATGAATGAAATTATATCTCTAGATATATACATAGTGGTAACCAAAACAAATAATATACATTTAAATACTACATATTGGACATTTTCTTTAAAAATATACACTAAATGCCTGTTATCTAGTCATTTCGGAATGTTTCTATATTTCATAACAAATGACCAGGTATTAGTTTCCTTTAGGTATATTTTCTAAACTTGTAGAATGGAAACCTCCAAGGTGTGAACATAAATGTGTCCGAGTGAACATGTTGGGCTAGTAATCTATGAATTGCTAGCCGCGTATGTTAAACCCCTTTTTGGCAAGCCATTGTTTCCGTGAGCAAGGAACTTTACACTCATTAATACTGTTTGGTTCTAGGAACGGTTTCAAAAGTGTTTCAATAAGTTTATAGCTTCCAACACAATCGAACTTTAGAAGATAAATTCGTACAAACTAAAATTAATTTAATCTAGTGATTTAATTTATCTAATGATTATTTTCTTTCACAAACGGGCAATGATAACTTTTAAGCGTGTGATGAATTTCTGAATCTCTTACGCGCAGAGATATAGTGGTAATTAATACAGTGCCTGTCAGTGCCTACAGTTTGGAAGCGTTCAAGTTAAACCTTTGACCTTATATAAGCTAAACGGATATCTTCTTCATAGGATGTAACTTAAATTGCCTTGAAAGCTTTGAATACAGCCAAGTGTTTGATAGCATGCGGACAATCATCAAATTGTATGTAAATTTTAACACTGATGGATTATTATACGAGCTTATAAATTGTTTAATGTTCAGAGGGCAAATTTTCACATATCTGGAATATTCTCCGAAGTTAATATAAGAGTTTTAGACTGCATTTACTTTAACATAACATTATTTGCATACCATACAAGCTGTAGGAGTTGTTTCGGATGGACAGATTTTCAGACTACATTTCAAGAATACACTCTCATAGCCGTAAAATTTGAAGGTATTTAATCTGGCAGAAGCAGTTCCATTACTATAAATGTCAAAGTGACTAATGAGGTCATTGATGACCACACATCTGAAATATTACAACAAAAAACATATTAAACATTATATTTTATTCACATCTATTGTGTTTTAGCTTAAGCAATAAAGCAATAAAGAAATGTAGATCTACGTTTTTTTTGTTTTTTTTTTGTGTGGCAAAACTTTTATATTTTCATATGCAAATCTACACTAGTGGATATACGATCCAGATTAAAACACGCTAAGCACATTCACAATACGGACATTTTGTTTGAATCCCCAACCCTCGGCGAAAACCAGTCTTAATAACTCTTGATTCTCAGGCAGTTACATAATAAAATACAAATAACAAATTTTGTTTTAAATTTGACAGTATTGAAATTAATATATATTTAATTTAAAAAACGGCTACTAGTTTATAAAATAAACAGATTTATAAGGATTAAATCAAGATATAATTTGCCAGACTTTGACATACCCGCCATTAGAGATCAAACTGACATAGTCCGCGGATGAGTCATCGTTACCTGGATACGCCGTGCAGCTACTTACTTCTAAACTATAGTGTTCTACAAATTTAATGTATAGAAATTAATTACAAGGATAATCAACGAATTGATATCTTATATTTTAAACAAGGGCACGGCAAAGGCGAGACTATATACGCTTGAATTATAACTTTCCTTGACGTCTTTTCACACCTTTTCACCCCCTCCTTTGTGGGTGCCTCAAATAGTGAAAAACTGCCCTATTTATACGCCAAACACTTGTTTTCGTTTGAGAAATGTTGTTAAAAAAGTGATTACTTTTTTCGGAACCATCCACTATCAAATAAATACATCAAGGGTTTGTCCGGGCGGGAACCATCCCCTATCAAATAAATACATCAAGGGTTTGTCCGGGCGGGGAACCATCCCCTATCAAATAAATACATCAAGGTTTGTCCGGGCGGGGAACCATCCCCTATCAAATAAATACATCAAGGGTTTGTCCGGGCGGGGAAACATCCCCTATCAAATTAATACATCAAGGGTTTGTTCGGGCGGGGAACCATCCCCTATCAAATAAATACATCAAGGTTTTGTCAGGGCGGGGATATGCCCATTCTGCTTGGGGGTTTAAAGGGGGCAGCAGACCCTTTCATCTCCAAGAAATGTTGGACTAGTGAGAAGCTGAAACTGGCATCAGGTTGACCTTAAGGTAACGTGTAACCAACGCTGAAAAGCATTAACTCTATCTCAATGCATTGAGAAGTTGCAACACTTCAGTTTTGATAGAAAATATCAACGCAAAATAGTGATTTCTGGCAAATTTGATATGTCCCCTCGTTTCCATGGTAACATGAAATTTAAGATTGAGTATGCTGCTACATAGGCTATGGTCCAGTCAACATTTGTGCCAAGTTTGAACAGTATTGAAGCCTTTTTGAAGATTCACAGGAATTTGAATTTGTAACAGGGGGCTTTTCAATGTAAAGAGCCATTTTTCATAAAATGATCAAGCAGTTATGGGTTAATTATCCTTATAATACTGTATGACCTCCAGGGTAGGGGCATTTTTACCCTAGGTACATAAAACTTTTTAAAGAGGTCTTTTAGGAAATTTATAAATGCTTTATGCCAAAAACAGAGGCATAGTAGTTTTCCACAAAAATGTGTTTTTCATTAGTCTACATAAGGCAAATGACTCCATGGGAAGGGCCAATTTGGAGGGTCATGGTCGATAAAACTTTTGTAAACATCTATATAGAGAATACATGGTTGATGTCGGGATGGAAAAGATTTATCCGGTGAGCGAGAAAGTGTATTTTGATTTATCCTGCTTTAATTATGTTTTTAGAATAATTAAATGGTTTTATTCTTACTTTTCCCCAATAGGAACTCTGGAACAGGACCGCATATTGCGGCGCATAACACCGAATCCGTACCGGCTTTACATATTGTTTATCCGACCTTTGAAGATCTTTTCATATTATGCGAGCGGGTGGTCTTTAATTATCTAATCTCAATTTGATATAATCTGCTAATTTAAAAAAAAACTTGTAAGAAGCCCCCTGACTTTTTTATTGCGCCAATAAAAAAAATTTTTGCTAAAACAATACAAGAATTCGGAAATTTTTAAAAGTGAAAATGGCCATGGCCTTAAAATTTTTGAAAAAATTTTACTGAATTTGTATCCCTTGAAAAAACTCACAAAGTTTGAAATGTTTAATCCCAAAAAAGGGTTAAGAAAGAAAAAAAAAATTTTAGCTTAAAAAAAATGTTTAACTCTGTTTTTTTCAAAAAAAAAGAAAAAAAAAATGTTTTTCCCTTTGTATAAGCCCAATTTATATGCTAATTTTGGGAAATTAACAAGTTAGATGAATTTTTTTTAGTTTTTTAAGTTTTTTTTCTTTAAAATACAAAAATTGACGTTGGCCCTAAAATTCAAATAAAATTTTACAAATTACCTTCTCCCGGGCTGGGGTTTATTTAACAATAATCCAATTTTCAAAAATTCAAAAATCAGTCAACTTTATGGTATATTGAAAAAAGAAAAATACCGTAAAATTTGACCAGTTTTAAAAGAGACAGATTGGGTCCAATTGATAATATATTTTTTGAGGCCATATACTCGGATAATACTAAAAGGTATTTAGATGAAGCAGAAACGTTTTTAAAAACCGTTACACGATCGAGTATATGCGCCGCAATCTGCGGTCCCGTTCTCGAGTTCCTATGTTTTTCCCGATAAAGTAGCATCTCTATGTAGTTTTGTATCGCTGCTAGACAACAGACGTCATCATATGACGTAATGACTGGAGATAGATAAGTTTATCCGGCAAGGCTTTATCCAGCTGATTATATTGACAGTAGCAGGATAAAAATTGATGCTACATGCCAAATGTTTAAGCTCTGTGCTCTTGTTTCCCACAACAAGACTTAAATGTGTTTTCCTTCATTAGTCTATATGAATCAAGTGACCCTGGGGCGGCCAAATATTGACCCTTGGGCCATGATAACAGTTTTGTAAAGGTCAACAAGGTTATACTGCATGTTAAATATCTTAGCTCTTGGCACTGAAGTTTCACCCAATTAAACTTAAATGTTTTTTCTATATAAACACATACAAATAAGGTGACTCCCGGGATTGGCCATAAATTGACGCAAGGGGCAGGATAAGAAATTAATATTCATAAGGAAATGCTACATGACAAATATCTAAGATCTGGGTATTGTAGTTTTACACAATAAGAATCCTATAAGTTTTCCTATAAAAGTCTTTATAAAATATGTGACCCCGGGTATCGGCCAATATGGACACTAGGGGCATGATTAATATCCATTTTGTAGTGGCCAACAAGACAATGATACAGGACAATCTTTTAAACTCTTGAGACTGAAATATGTTTTCTCAGTAAAGACTATACCAACCAAGTGATCGTAGGGGCGGGGCCAATTTATACCAAGAAGGCATGATTAATGCCAGTTAAGTTGTGGTCGACAAAATTATGTTCAAGCCTAAGATCTTAGCTCTGTGCTATATAGTTTTCTCACAATAAGTCTAAGATGTGTTTTTCCTATATATAAGTCTCTACAAATCAAGAGACCTTGGGGTCGGTACCAATAAAAACCAAGGGTCATGATGATTATAAGCATTGTAAAGGTCAATCAGGTAATGCTTCATGCGAAATATCTTTAAGTCCTAGACATTGTAGTTTTACACAATGAAAATTAAATGACTTTCCTCTATAAATCAAGTAACCTTCAGCTAAAAGAAAAAAAAAGATTTAACGAAGAGGAAGGTATTTTGCGTTCCAAAGTAAATTTTTCACTGCATGGGCTTGTATATGTTTATTACAACTGACCTTCCATCTGTAACAATATTAGAGGGCTTTAAACTCCCGTTCGGAGGTCTGATCCCACAGTGGTGAGGGCCAAGAAATTAAGTCAGCGTCAGTAGCAGAAACACTGGTCAACAGAGACATTCTATATCTGCCTTATTTTGAAAGACTTGTTGTTTGCAAAACACAACCATAAAAATTCATTTAGACAGAATTACATGGTCCAAACTACCTCATTTTGAAAGAATTGTTGTTTGCAATACACTACCATAAAATTTCCAATTGGAAATTAATACAGAATTACAAATTGATGTATATGGAATAGAGTAGCTATCACACCACAAAATACACATTTAAAATGTCGTATTTCGTATGTGTCATATTTACCTGGAAAGAGTATGGTCCAAATTATTTCCTTTCCCACAGTTGTTGAAGCTGCACTTAGTAATGACTTCACGCTGTATATAGGATCGATTTTGATGTCATCGTCTATGGCTAGCCTGGTTGTAATAAACCAATAGAATCATTTGTACTTTATTTGTATATAACCAAACACTTCAATAGGTTAATAAACCAAAATAAGTTAAAATATAATTAAAACATGACTTGTCAGAAGCGCTAAGTTTTGTTACGTTATCTACATGAAAAAACAGCACATGATGAAGATTAAATAGCGAACAAACATGTACCATAAAATTGACAATTTTCCTGTCTATAAAAAACAGACAATTTTAATGTTGATGATCCATTATAAAAACAAATTCTTACTGTGTTGAAAAAGAACTGTTTATTGAATGAATAACTCCTTCATCGGAAATCTCCAGACAAATAAATTTTATGATCACCAGATTTCTGCCGCCATGTACCTTGTATGTAACCACTCCACTGTACGACCCGTATGTAATGATAATTTCCTCATCCTGTGTACAATATCATTAAATACGAAAACTATTCATTTAATTATTAATTAATTATTAAGTTATAATATTTGAATTGCTCTATGTATATTGTAAACTGTAACATGCATATATATTCTGATAAATAAAATATGTTTAAACTAAGTTATAATATTTATTTAGATTGAATAATCATATTTTTTTTTCATTTTAATGAGCACTGTTTCTAGAAAAAAAATCACAACTCGGCATATGCAAGAGATATTTTACATGTATTCGTTATCCAATTAGTTGTTGGTCATATGAAGTAATCATTTTGTTTGAGATGCGCATTCACCTCTCTTGAAAAACGCATAATAAAGGCAAACGGCAATAAATAGGCTATTTCTTATACAATATGATCAAAAAAGACATATTCACTGGTAAAAGATGGTTCCGAATGATACCCCCTTAGTGTTATCATACATTTGATATGATAATCTGTCAACTTCATAAATTTGTCAATAATAACGAAAATTACTAATTTTGCACTTGCAGTTTTTATTGTGTGTTCGACAGTAACTTTCTCGGGCAAACCAGTTTAATCAATTGGATATAATTTGGATACAAATATTAGCGTTTTAATACCTTTGAACATCTAGTCAATGTCACAGTTGTTGCATTTTCATCGTGCACCGTACAAGGTATGTAATTTCCGTTCTCGACGACCTGCATGGCAAATAAATAACTATCTTCCGGCAGATGGAACAGGTTAATACTGTTATCGGGGTTACACTGGAATCGTAACTGCGCTAAAATACAGCAAAGATATAGTTAGATTGTAGATGTCTTCTAGTCAGAGCGTCATACACTATATGTTGGTGAAATTTAGCGAAATGGCCCTCCAACCAACTGCGTTAAATATTTGTAACTTTTCATAAAATATTATTATATGGACGGCAGCAGGGTCATTGTTCTAAAACTGGGACGGTAACACATTGAAGATAAATAGTCTATATACGAGATCTACTTAAGATGTCTGTGCTCAACTCAAAACAGGTATATAATTTTTATTAACCAGGTTTTCCGAAGGAAAAAACTGGTTATTAGATTGAGGTATGTCGGCGGGCGGGCGGACGGGCGGGCGGCGGACGGGCGGGCGTAAACAATTTCTTCTGTGCGCAACTCCTCCTACATTTTTCAACGCGATTTTGACCAAACTTTCACAGAAGCTTTGTCATCAAGTGACCTGGCGCATATTGTCGGGGTTTTGTGATTGGATAATATTTGACCTAATTATGGCCCTTTGTTTTTTTCCCTTATATAGAATATATAGTGAATAATTTCTTCTGTGCCCAACTGTTCCTACATTTCTCAATTGATTTTGACCAAACTTTCACAGAGGCTTTGTACTCAAGAGCCCTGGCATATATTGTTAGGGTTTTGTGATTGGATAATATTTGACCTAATTATGGCCCTTTTTTCCCCCCATTATAGGATATAATTATAGTGAACAATTTTCTGTGCGCAACTCCTCCTACATTTCTCAAAGGAATTTGACCAAACTTTCACAGAGGCTTTGTCATCAAGTGCATTGGGGCATATTGTCAGGGTTTTGTGATTGGATAATATTTGACCTAATTATGGCCCTTTGTTTTTTTTCCTTATACAGATTATATAGTGAAAAATTTTTACTATGCGCAACTTCTCCTACATTTCTCAACAGATTTTGACCAAACTTTCACAGAAGCTTTGTTATCAATTGCCCTGGCTCACATTATCGGGGTATTGTGGATAATATTTGACCTAATTATGGCCCTTTGTTCTTTTTCCTTATACAGAATATATAGTGAAAAAATTCTTCTGTGCTGAACTCCTACATTTCTCAACGGATTTTGTTCAAACTTTCACAGTAGCTTTGTCATCCAGTGCCCTGGCACATATTTTCAGGGTTTTGTGATTGAATAATTTTTTATTTAATTATGGCCCTTTTTTTCCTTATATAGAATATAATTATAGTGAACACTTCCTCTGTGGCAATTCCTCCTACATTATTCATGTTTTACATTGCACATAGTTACATTGTTTGTTGCTTGTATTTGTATTTCAAATACAACATATTTATCTACAATGGTGATAATTGAAAAACCTGGTTTCATGGCATTGCCATGTTTCTTGTTCTATTTCTTTCATTGGTTCGTAAATATATATATAAGGTACACTAAAATGCGGTAAATTACAGGATTGGAAAAACCTGCGCCACCATCTGAGGTTCCTTTTCCCATTACATGTGGTAACCGGGCCTAGCACCGCTTTTATGCTGCTAACAGATAAAAATTGTGTTCTTAACGATGAACAAACTCAGAATTGTGTACATACAAATACATGAAACTCCATTGCCGTTATATCCCCAATTGCAAGTACAAGTAAAACTGCCGGGCGTATTGTCACATTTAGCATCTGAAGAGCAGTTATGGTCACCATCGGCGCATTCGTCAATATCTGAAATCAAACGAAAATGTGTGTATCATCAAACAGTTCTTTTGTAAATGGATAAAGAAGGCTTTTACATACAACAGCCCATGACTCATGCAGGATAATTTTAACAACGTTGAGGAGCAATATTTCGGCGTCAGCAGGCTTTAAAACTATGGACAAGTTTACAAACATAATTCGTCCTTAGTTTACGAAATGAAATGAGGTAGCAGTAATTAAAATGAGTTTTACATTTAACAGGATGTTTAAATCGACAGAACTACTTCAACTTTTAAAAGCCACATTTTTGAACAGGTTTTATACATAAAGCAAAATACTTCGTACTCATTTATTTATCATATCTTTACTTTTGTTTCAGTTTCATGTTTAGCCCTTTAATCGATTAACCGGTGACTATTGTTTCGTGTTTGTTTGTACGTCCATGCAGCCAAGCAAGGCTATAGACTGCTTGAAGTTCAGTTTTTGGATATAGAAATCCCTAATATTTTGAAAGAACTATTTCAAAACGAAAATACAAAACATCAGCAGACTAACAGTTAATCAACATAACTAAAAATCATCCAGTGTTCAATGTCCTACAGGTGATAGCTTCATTCTTACATATTAATTGTAGCCTTTAAAGCTTAAATTTAATCCAATATGTTTTTAACAGCGCACATATGTAAATTCTGTTCATATTAAATGAACAGTACATGGGCATTGTGTTTAAAGAAAATATATGTTTCTTATTATTTACGATTAAAGATATGCTTTGCAAAGTCACAAACAAATTTAATTTTAATATTCCTGCTAAGTTAACATTGAATTTTCTATGACTTTCATTGATTAAAAGCTCTTACATTCGTCACTTTCCGTTTGGTACATTTTACAAATTTGTAATATAACGAATTAACAATGTACTCATACTTTGTAGCAATACGACGAGCATGTCGTCACACCTATTCTAGGTCATTATGATATTATAAAGAAAAAATAACAAAAATTCTGAATTAAGTAAACGTTCTGTGATTTTTAAGAAAAGAAACAAAAACTTAATTTAGTGTGATTTGAGTAGTTTTATGATTATAAGGAAAATGTTACGAAAAGCCTGATTTGTGTACAATATGATTATACGAAAAATGTTACAAAAAGCCAAATTTGAGTACAAGTTTTATGATTATAAAGAAAAGTAAAAAATTGCCTGCATTTAGCAAACGTTCTATGATTTTTAAAAAAAGTAAAAAATTGCCTGCATTTAGCAAACGTTCTGTGACTTTTAAGAAAAGTAACACATTGCCTGCAATTAGCAAAAGTTCTGTGATTTTTAAGAAAAGTAACAAATTGCCTGCATTTAGCAAACGTTTTATGATTTTTCATAAAAGCAACAAATAGCCTGCATTTAGCAAAACGGTCAATGATTTTTAAGAAAAGTAACAAATTGCCTGCATTTAGCAAACGGTCTATTATTTTTTAAGAAAAGAAATAAACAGCCTGATCTGAGTAGAAGGTCTATGCTTATAAAGAAAAAATTACAAAATGCCTGATTTAAGTAAGAGATGTATGATTATAAAGTAAAAAACAGATAACCTGATTTGAGCAGAAGTTTGATGATAATTGAGAAAAATAACGAACAACCTGATTTGCACATAGGTGTTTATAATGATCATAAGGGTAAAGGTAAATAGTTTGATTTGAGCATTAGTTTTATGTATTTTTAAAGAAGAAACAGAACCTTATTTAAACATTCAAGTATAAGTTTTGCATTCGAAGATTTCTTAAGATGACAAAACACAATTCCAACTGATAAGACAATTATATCCATATTTTCAGAAATTTGCTTTTAGACCATATGTTGTAACAGGAGGCAAAAATAACAAGAGTCGAAGACCGCTTGATAGAAAAACAAGCGCCTGGATACTTAATGATGAATGATCTAAGTTCACAAAGGGCAATAATGCAGTCGATTGCAATCTCAAAAACATGTACATGTATAATGTTTCAAGAGAAAGCCTTTAGTAGTCTTGAAGATTGATGTTGCATACAAAGGACTATCAAAGATCACAAAGTGCCAAAAATATGTCCAAATAAATGCTAGAGTTATGAACCTTGGATAGTGAACTCTTTTTATGATCTCAAATTAATATGTGTATAAGGTTACAAGCAAATGTCTTAAGTGGTTAATGGGACACTGTGATGTACAAGACGTTGCACGTAAAAGATTAAGTATCGAGAAGTTATCACTTACATCGAAGTTCAAAGTAAACCAAGGCCGAATTTCGATCTGGACTTGAATTTCGAGCCAGCTCGAAGATCGAAATTCAAAATTTTCAAAAGCCGAATTTCGTAATGGAAATAAATTTCGTCGAGCTGGAGTTGAATTTCAAGCTAGCTCGATAATCGAAATTCAACATTTTGAAAACCCGAATTTCAAAATTAAAAAAAAAGCCAAATTTCGAGCTAGAGTTGAATTTCGAGCCAGCTAGAAAATCTAAATTCAAAATCTAATAAAGCCGAATTTCGAGCTGGAGTTGAATTTCGAGCTAGCTCGAAGATCTAAAATTCAAACTTTTCAAAAGTCGAATTTCGAGCTAGCTCGAAGATCGAAATTCAAAATTATTAAAACCCGAATTTCGAGCTGGAGTTGAATTTCGAGCCAGCTCGAAGATCGAAATTCAAAATAATAAAAGCCGAATTTCGAGCTGGAGTTGAATTTCGAGCCAGTTCGAAGATCGAAATTCAAACTTTTCAAAAGCCGAATTTCGAGCTGGAGTTGAATTTCGAGCTAGCTCGTAGATCGAAAAAGCCGAATTTCGAGCTGGAGTTGAATTTCGAGCCAGCTCGAATATCGAAATTCAAAATAAAAAATCCGAATTTCGAGCTGGAGTTGAATTTTGAGCCTGCTCGAAGATCGAAATTCAAAATTTAAAAATCGAATTTCGGGCTAGAGTCGAATTTCGAGCCAGCTCGAAGATCGAAATTCAAAATTTAAAAAGCCGAATTTTGAGCTGGGGTTGAATTTCGAGCCAGCTCGAAGATCGAAATTCACAATTTTAAAAAGCTATTATGACCGACTTAAATGCCTTAGAAGTTGCAATTGCCCTTTCACAAAATCTGATTTCATACCATAAGGGTCGTCGCGCTTCGGCGCGGACGCCAATAAAGTCGTTGTGCTCAAAACAGGTCATTGAAAATCTCAAATTTAAAAATCTGACTTTTCCCTCGGGACTTAGAGTCATTATTGCAAACATGACAGTTTTTTCTTTCTTTTTCATTATAGGCTTTGAAAATATATTTTTTTTTTGTAATAGCAATCTTAGTTTTAAAATAAAAATAAAGTCACTTGACTTTTTGTTAATCTACCAAATGAGTTTATATAACCCTTGCTTTATGATAAACAAGCAATTATCATAGTATTGCAAGCAATCCATAAGTCCCCTACCGGTTAGAACCCCATCAACATTCTGAAGGGCCATTGGCCATTTACTAATGTTTCAATTTTTCTCTATTTTAAGTAAATTTGTTGGAAAAGTTCTTTAAAAGTGATCACAGGAAACAGTTTTTATGAACAGACAAACAGACGGACTGAAGGACACTTTAAAGTTAATATTTGAAACATCCCTGTTACCAAAATATAACATTTTTAAAAGCAAAATTCTTAAAAAGGAGATAACTCTTGAATTAAAGATGCAATTTCATAAAAATTTTCAGCTCTTTTTGACTAATCACAAATATTGTTATATTTGCCATGTTTTAAGCCTACTTGTTGCCAAGGCAACCAATATTTTTTCAAAATAGGAAGAACAGATAAGACAACCATAATCTCAAGACTGCCATCTACCCATATGTCAAGTTTCATAAAAATATTTCCAGTACTTTTTGAGTTATCACTAGATTCAGTTTATGTGTAAAATTTGCCATATTTTCAGTCTACGTGTTGCCATAGCAACCAGAATTTTCAACATAGGAAGAAAAGAAAAAGACATGCATAATCTCCAGACTGCCATCTACCCATATTCGATGTTTCATAAAAATATTTCTATTACTTTTTGCGTTATCACTGGATCCAGTTTATGTGTAAAATTTGCCATATTTACAGTCTATTTGTTGCCATAGCAACCAGAATTTTCAACATAGGAAGAAAATAAAAAGACGTGCATAATCTCCAGACTGCCATCTACCCATATTTCAAGTTTCATAAAAAATATTTCCAGTACTTTTTGCGTTATCAGTGGATCCAATTTATGTGTAAAATTTTCCATATTTTCAGCCTCTTTGTTGCCATAGCAACCAGAATTTTCAACATAGGAAGAAAAGAAAAAGATGTGCATAATCTCCATACTGCCATCTATCCATATATCAAGTTTCATAAAAATATTTTTAGTACTTTTCAAGTTATCGCGGGATCCAGTTTTGTGGACGGACGGACTGACGGACTGACAGACAGACGGACAGACAGACGGACAGACAGAAAGACAGACAGACGGACGGAGGGTAAACCTAAAGTCCCCTCCGGTAAACCGGTAGGGGACTAACAAGAAAAGGTTCGTTTTAATTCTCTTGATATTTTGGGATCTTGTAAAATTGTTCTTTAAAGATATTGCTGCATATATGATTTGCATCCGATCTGGTAACTTTACTTGACTTTAAAATCACCGGCACAAGACATCAAAATCGTTTGTATTCTGATTATTTCATGAATATAATTTTATCTGTAATATGTAATATGTATGAATTGATGATTATGTTAGAAGCTTACTTACAGGCAAGCATTTATAGGCACATTATGCTTCAAAAATCCAATTATTCTTAATTTTTAAAAAAGTTCAAACTAATGTTTGACAATATTATAATAATGGATTTTTCTATAACTGAAAAAAGTAGATAAAAACAAATGAAAATGATAGCATAAATGCGGCATAATGGCTGTCATAATGTCCGGTGAAAGTGAAACAAATAAGTGAAATATGTGCATACTTATTACGTTTAGATTTATTTAAATCTAACAGTTTGGAGCTTATATGAAACAATCTCGAATTGGTCATGCTTGGTCACAGAATAAGAAATATGCTTATGAATCGTGTCGTGTATTTACTTGTTAGTTGACAGACGAACTATTCCCTTTCAGTTACATGATATCAAAACCTTCTCATATATAATTACCTCCACAAGTCGGCTGACTCCCACTCCAAATACCACCACTGCATGTTCGAGAGGCACTCCCGCTTGTAATTGTGTAGCCTGAATTGCAGCTGTATGTAACGGTATCTCCGGGATTTGTACCGGTAAGAGAAGTTGAACCGTAAGTAATTTTCTCCGGTGTTCTACATGACAGTACTGAAATGAGGTAAATGCAGGAGAAATTTTCAACCAAAATCTTTTAAAGAAAGTAAACAAATTAAGGACACAAGTGCACAAAATGTCAATTTGGATCCGTTCTAATTCTGAAATTTTTAATGTACCGTAAGTTAATTTCAGTACGTCCACGATCATGATTTAAATAACAAAATTTGATGATATACACCGGACATATAATATGCACTTACATTAAGTAACTCAATCTAAAGGCGTAACTCAACATTTAAGAAGATAACTCAATTTTGTAACACTTACTAGACATACATAGGCAAAAAATGTATCGTTGTCTTGGAGCAATCTATACATCATAATAACCATCAAACTTCGCAAGTCTCTTTATAAATGACTTACTGAATTTCAGACCAATAGAGGCGTCGGCCACATCGGAAAAGCTGGTCGAGGTTTGATAACCACCACAACCACCGAAATGAATCTCAAATTGGCTAGCGAAAAATTCATCAGGAATGTAGTCTGCCGTGCTAGTAGCGATTGCATAATCGTACCACACGCGTAAGGCTCCCACGTTTACAATATTTTGTAAACGTGTACATGATTGCTAAGAACCGAAACGATACCGTTTAAACGGTGATACTTCTATGTACTATACTACACAATGTATTTGAGTCGCAAAAGATGACTTACTTTCTATTTTAAATACATGTACAAGTAAATAATGTTCAGGGCTCATCACGATTGAGGCGGCACACATTTTCTGCATTGTATCCCCATTTCACCAAAGGAAAATCAACTTTACCAACAATGTATTATGTCACGAGCGATTATTGCACGGTGATGGTGTGTGAAGGTTTGTAAACACACATTTTTCATTTTTTACTTTGGACTAAACTAAATACAATTGAGAAAATCCAAGATTACAGGCAATGATTAAGATAATTTGTAAGACAATATGGTCAGTTCGATTAAACGGTAAAAATATCGTAACCGTTTACGAATAAAAAAAATCGAAACGAATTCGTTTAAACGTGTAACCGTTTGGGCCTTACACACGTGCAATAAATCTGTTTTCCCCGTATGTAAGAAGTTAGCAGTGAACAGTGAGCTAAGCAAAAAGGCATTTCAATTTATATAGGGGAGTCAATGATCTGCTGTAATGCTCAGCTGTTTTAGGCATCTAGCAGGGCATTCCTAAATATAGTGTAAAAATGCTCTGCTACAATACTCAGCTGTCTTGGCAATCTAGCAGAGCATCCTAGCTTTAGTGAAAAAATGCTCTGCTGGAACGCTCAGCTGGCTAGGCAATATAGCAGTGCATTACTAAATATAGTGTAAAAATGCACTGCTGGAATGTTAAGCTGGCTATGCAATCTAGCAGGGCATTCCTAAATATAGTGTAAAATGCTCTGCTGGAATGCTAAGCTGGCCAGGCAATCTAGCAGGGCATTACTAAATATAGTTAAAAATGCTCTGCTGGAATGCTAAGCTGGCTAGGCAATCAAGCTAGGCATTACTAAATATAATGAAAAAATGCTCTACCGGAATACTAAGCGGGCTAGGCAATCTAGCAGGGCATTACTAAATATAGTGTAAAAATGCTCTGCTGGAATGCTAAGCTGGCTAGGCAATCAAGCACGACATTACTTAATATAGTGTACAAATGCTCTACTGGAACGTTAGCTGGCTAGGCAATCTAGCAGAGCATTCCTAGTTATAGTGAAAAAATGATCTGGAATGCTAAGCTGGCTAGGCAATCTAGCAGGGTGTTACTAAATACAATGTTAAAATGCTCTGCTGGAATGCTAAGCTGGCTAGGCAATATAGCAGGGTGTTACTAAATATAGAGTAAAAATGCTCTGTTGGAATGCTAAGCTGGCTAGGCAATCAAGCTGGGAATTACTAAATATAGTGTAAAAATGCTCTGCTTGAATACTAAGCTGGCTAGGCAATCTAGCAGGGCATTACTAAATATAGTGTAAAAATGCTCTGCTGGAATGCTAAGCTGGCTAAGCAATCTAGCAAGGCATTCCTAAATAAAGTGTAAAATTGCTCTGCTGCAATACTCGGCTGTCTTGGCAATCTAGCAGAGCATTACTTAATAAAGTGTAAAAATGCTTTGCTGGAATGCTAAAGTGGCTAGGCAATCTAGCAGTGAATTACTAAATATAGTGTTAAAATGATCTGCTGGAATGCTAAGCTGGCTAGGCATCCTAGCAGAACATTCTGAAAAATAGTGTGAAAATGCTGTGAAGGATAAGCAATCTTGCAGTGCATTCTGAATTATAGTATGTATATGCTCTGCTGGAATGCTCAGCTGGCAGACTGATTCTGAGTTCCAGGATTTATTGTTGCCAACGTTTTATTGACATTTTCGACTTCTAGGATTTTCTGAGGCACTCGCAGACTTTAAGGAATTTTTGGTGCCAATAGAAATAATGATATTTTTGACTTGTAAAGGAACATTTCATTGTCCTGTGACTTTTTGATGGACACTCGCAGACTTTGAGGAATTTTGGTGCCAATGCTTATATTGACAATTTAGACTTCTGGGGACCCTCAAGAGTCCATTTTGTTGGTTTGCGACTGATTCCCGGACACTCGCAGACTTTCAGAAATGGTTGGTACCAATAGAAATAATCATATTTTTGACTTCTAGGGACCTTTAATAGTCCATTTCATTGGCCTGCGGTGTATTGTTAAACACTCGCTGACTTTCAGGAAAGTTTGGTGCCAATAAAGATGATGGCAATTTTTACTTCTAGGGACCCACCAGAGTCCATTTTTATGGATTGCGACTGATTCTGGGACATTCGCAGACTCTCATTAATTTGTGGTGCGAATGGAGATAATGACAATTTTGACTTCTAGCGACCCTACCACGAGTTCATTTTGCTGGTCTGCGACTGATTTTTGGACACTTACAGACTTTCAGGAATTTTGATGATTTTGATATTTCAGAAAGTCTACGAGTGTCAAATAATCAGTTGCAGACCAACGAAATTCATACTTTATTAAAGAGTGCCCTGCATGTTTGCCTAGACAGCTCAGCATTCCGGCAGAACATTTTTACACTAATTTTCAGAATGCTTTGGTGGATTGCCTAGCCAGCTGAGCATTTTTAACACTATATTTAGGAATGCCCTGCTAGATTGCTTAACCAGCTGAGCATACCAGCAGAGCATTTTTCGCACTATATTTTGGAACGCTCCGCTAGATTGCTTTTCCAGCTGAGCTTACCAGCAGAGCATTTTTACACTTTATTTAGGAATGATCTGCTAGATTGCTTAGCAAGCTGAGCATACCTGCAGAGCATTTCTACACTTCATTTTGGAATGCTCTGCTGGATTGCCTAGCCAGCTGAGCATTTTTAACACTATATTTAGGAATGCCCTTTTAGATTGCCTAGCCAGTTGAGCCATTCAGCAGAGCATTTTTACACTATATTTTGGAATGTGCCGCTAGATTGCTAAGCCAGCTGAGCATAAAAGCTAAATAGTTTAACACTATATTCAGGAATGGCCTGCTAGATTGCCTAGCCAGCTGAGCATACCAGCAGATCATGTTTACACTATATTTTGGAATGCCCCGCTAGATTGCTTAGCCAGCTGAGCTTAATTGCAGAGCATTTTTACACTATATTTTGGAATGCCCCGCTAGATTGCTTAGCCAGCTGAGCATAACAGTAGAACATTTTTACACTATATTTTGGAATGCTCCGCTAGATTGCCTAGCCAGCTGAGCATACCAGCAGAGCATATTTACACTACATTTAGGAATGGCCTGCTAGATTGCTTAGCCAGCTGAGCATACCAGCAGAGCATTTCTACACTTTATTTTGGAATGCTCTGCTAGATTGCTTACCCAGCTGAGCATAACAGGAGATCATTGATTTCCCTATATAAATCGTAATGCCTTTTTGCTTAGATCACTGTTAACTGCTAACTTCTCACATATGTTTTCCTCTGCAAATAACTTTCATAGGCTTTTCTCTGACTATTATACAACAGTGTAAAGTAACTGTTAGGGTTGCCGTCACAGTTCTGAAATGGAAAATCTCTCCCCTGGACTCTCCAGCCTTGCGTGTCATGGTAATGACTGACTCCGGCCTCCGACGTACAGATACGGGGTCATGTGACTATTTATTATTACCTTATACCCTGAATAGGAATTGTACAAGACGCCGAGATTCTTGCTCGAGTAGTGGGTGATTTGTGCCGCGGTGGCGTCAAACTGCTGTCCGTTCGTGCGTTTGTGTCTGATAAGAACCTCGCTCTTCTGGGTAAACAGTTGGGCTAGGTTTGGGTCCACATTTAAAATGTTTGAGATAAAGCGTAGACATAACCGCTTTTAAATAGGCAGTTGTCCTTCAGCGTTAGCAAGTGTATAAGTGCCGCTAGATGGGGGTGAAATCGCACTCAAGTATACTTCAGAACAAGATATATTTAACGGTAAACATCTGTCAATATAGTAAATAGCGTTACGGGCGCTATAAGGAATTGAAAAATCGAGTTATAAATATTTTTGACAGGTTATATGGCCCTATAATAAACGGTTATTTAGAAATATAACCCGAGCAAGCATCTTTTATAGTGAAAAAATGTGATTTCTTCATAAATTGACAGCAGTAGTGTGTACCAGCCATCTCAAAAAGAAAAGATCCATCGCTGCCGAATCCGAAGCTGATACGTACACCATTCATTTGTTTGTTGATTACAAACTTTTACCGTCTAGTTTTAGATTCATTGCACTTTGAAAATATCAGGTACTATATGTGTATTTAACAGTAGTTATAGCCTATTTGAATACTCTTCTAAGCTGAGGAAATGCATTAGGATGGTCATTCCAGAAAGCTTATTTGAACAATTAACCTGCTCAATCTGTTAACATTAGACTTGTACACCTTCCACTTTAGATCTCACATCGGAACATACAAGAAAGCGATACACGATATTACATATAAAGTGAAAAATAAAACATAAGATACATGCAACCTAGACTATATTGAAACCAACGATCGTACATATGAGCATCACTCCCCCACTCAGTCCCCTTCAGCCCCCTCCCTATTTTATACAAAAGAAAAAACAACAGTTTGGTATACATACTTGGACATGCAGGTTTCGTGCACGTGCCAGTTTCAGTAGCACTTCCAGAGCAGGTTGTTCCTCCATGAGCTGGCGTTGGATTGTTACATGACCTTGACCTTGTAACTGACCCAGTTCCACACGTGACAGGGCAACTAGAATAGCTACCCCAGTTAGACCAGCCACCATTTACTTAAAAATTTGAATTATTAAAAGATGATTGTACATAGTATAAGTTCTAATAGAACGAATCATTTATAATTCTGTTTAAATTAATCAACATGTCTTTTTTTATATTTATATAAAATACGAATCTGTAGATAATATGCTTGTCAAAACGGCATTAGAATCGTTATTGTATGTAATTTTACTCCCCCCCCCCAGTACCAACACCCGAACTCCCCAATGAAATGAACTGTGCACAGTATCATGAATTAATGATTAAGACTCTTTTTAGGTTAAATTGCCGTGAATATTATTAGTTGACAGTTATATGGCCCTATATAAACGGTTGTTTAGAAATATAACCCGAGCAAGCATTTTTTATAGAGAAAAATGTGTGATTTCTTCATAAATTGACAGCAGTCGGTTGTATAAAACTATATAAACGTCACGATTATCCATTTAAAAGCGATGTTACAAACGTGCAGTATTATAAAACCGTCTCTTTGCTATAGATGGCTTTAACGGTGTGTCTCGGGTCATTAGAATTTCAACCGATTATTCTACACCATATAAATCGTCAAAATGAATCTCTATTTGTATTTGCGTTAAACAATTTTGTTAAAATGTGACGTCGTACCAGCCTTGTCAAAATAAAAAGATCCATCGCTGCCGAATCCGAAGCTGATACGTACACCATTCATTTGTTTGTTGATTACAAACTTTTACCGTCTAGTTTTAGATTCATTGCACTTTGAAAATATCAGGTACTATATGTGTATTTAACAGTAGTTATAGCCTATTTGAATACTCTTCTAAGCTGAGGAAATGCATTAGGATGGTCATTCCAGAAAGCTTATTTGAACAATTAACCTGCTAAATCTGTTAACATTAGACTTGTACACCTTCCAGTTTAGATCTCACATCGGAACATACAAGAAAGCGATACACGATATTACATATAAAGTGAAAAATAAAACATAAGATACATGCAACCTAGACTATATTGAAACCAACGATCGTACATATGAGCATCACTCCCCCACTCAGTCCCCTTCAGCCCCCTCCCTATTTTATACAAAAGAAAAAACAACAGTTTGGTATACATACTTGGACATGCAGGTTTCGTGCACGTGCCAGTTTCAGTAGCACTTCCAGAGCAGGTTGTTCCTCCATGAGCTGGCGTTGGATTGTTACATGACCTTGACCTTGTAACTGACCCAGTTCCACACGTGACAGGGCAACTAGAATAGCTACCCCAGTTAGACCAGCCACCATTTACTTAAAAATTTGAATTATTAAAAGATGGTTGTATATAGTATAAGTTCTAATAGAACGAGTCATTTATAACAACATGTCTTTTTTATACTTCTATAAAATACGAATCTGTAGATAATATGCTTGTCAAAACGGCATTAGAATTGTTATTGTATGTAATTTTACTCCCCCCCCCCCCCAGTACCAACACCCGAACTCCCCAATGAAATTAACTGTGCACGGTATCATGAATTAATGATTAAGACTCTTTTTAGGTTAAATTGCCGTGAATATTATTAGTTGACAGTTATATGGCCCTATATAAACGGTTGTTTAGAAATATAACCCAAGCAAGCATTTTTTATAGAGAAAAATGTGTGATTTCTTCATAAATTGACAGCAGTCGGTTGTATAAAACTATATAAACGTCACGATTATCCATTTAAAAGCGATGTTACAAACGTGCAGTATTATAAAACCGTCTCTTTGCTATAGATGGCTTTAACGGTGTGTCTCGGGTCATTAGAATTTCAACCGATTATTCTACACCATATAAATCGTCGAAATGAATCTCTATTTGTATTTCATGTATTTGCGTTAAACAATTTTGTTAAAATGTGACGTCGTACCAGCCTTGTCAAAATAAAAAGATCCATCGCTGCCGAATCCGAAGCTGATACGTACACCATTCATTTGTTTGTTGGTTACAAACTTTTACCGTCTAGTTTTAGATTCATTGCACTTTGAAAATATCGGGTACTATATGTGTATTTAACAGTAGTTATAGCCTATTTGAATACTCTTCTAAGCTGAGGAAATGCATTAGGATGGTCATTCCAGAAAGCTTATTTGAACAATTAACCTGCTAAATCTGTCAACATTAGACTTGTACACCTTCCAGTTTAGATCTCACATCGGAACATACAAGAAAGCGATACACGATATTACATACAAAGTGAAAAATAAAACATAAGATACATGCAACCTAGACTATATTGAAACCAACGATCGTACATATGAGCATCACTCCCCCACTCAGTCCCCTTCAGCCCCCTCCCTATTTTATACAAAAGAAAAAACAACAGTTTGGTATACATACTTGGACATGCAGGTTTCGTGCACGTGCCAGTTTCAGTAGCACTTCCAGAGCAGGTTGTTCCTCCATGAGCTGGCGTTGGATTGTTACATGACCTTGACCTTGTAACTGACCCAGTTCCACACGTGACAGGGCAACTAGAATAGCTACCCCAGTTAGACCAGCCACCATTTACTTAAAAATTTGATTTATTAAAAGATGATTGTACATAGTATAAGTTCTAATAGAACGAGTCATTTATAATTCTGTTTAAATTAATCAACATGTCTTTTGTATGCTGTAGTGCTGTGAAAATTATCGGTAAAGGAAAATTGTACGACATTTAACGGTAGTGTTGCGATAAAACGGCAAAATACTTAGTGTTGCGATATAACAGAAAAATACTTGGTGACATGTAGCGGCGGTTGCGACATTTAGCGGCAATAGTGAGACAAGTGCGACATTTAGCGTCGTTACGACATATAACGGCGCCACAGTGTTAAATGTAAAGGAAAATAAACAAAAATAAATGATAACTTACATACAGTTAACTAAAATTGTTCCCCCTCATATTTCATATGTATTTATACACCGAATGGTCGGTAAACAAGACTGCGATTTATTTCCTGTTATATCTGTATGAGACATATCAATTGTCGAATTTAGAAGATGATAATTAAAAAACATTGGCTGAGAATGTATACTTCTTCCTCTAACGTTATTTAAAATTCACCTGTTGTACATGTTGTTCCTGTCCAACCGGAAGCGCATGTGCACGTAAACTGATTCCGCCCGTTCGTGCATTGCGCGCCATTTTTGCATGGATTACTTGCACATTCATTGACATCTGTAAATGAAAAATAAAGGTAAAAACCTTATTTCATTGGTGTGTTAGGAACTTATAGACATTGCATACATTACGATTAACATACAAATATGACACAGCTTTAAAAGTTATATTGATATTTATTTCACGGAATATGTGAACAAAGTTTTATTTCTGCTTCACTGTAACTCTTTACTACGATAAAAGCATATTTTATTGAAAGGGACAGGTAAAACTGCACTGAGAACAACAGCAAACACATTGAGTAAATTATAAAAACAATGTTTATATATTCTAAACATTGTTTAACTCACCGGTGTCACAATTTGTCCCCGACCATCCTGCAGTACATGTGCAGGTGTACCTATTTGCCCCATTCACACATGCAGCACCATTCTTGCACGGGTTACTAGCACATTCATTTACATCTAAATTGTTAAATAAACGTAAAAAAACAACTTTTTCTCAGACATAAATCAAATTGTTAACTCATACAGTTCAAGGGGGAAAAGTTTCAAGTTTCTTAAAGCTTGAAATTTTAGAAAGTCTTGTTCCATATTCGCATGCTTTTAAATCAAGTCACCAGGAATATGAAAATGAAACGTGTATTGTGTAATAATAATGCAAAATTGTGCAAATCTATGACGGAAATGATCATCACGGCATGTAAATGAAACAATATATTGTTTCGTCAAGTATTTTTAACATTTTATTACTTGACTTTTAATTAAACAAAAACATATACATTGTGTACGAGGTAAAACTTTCGAGAAATTAATATTTTAACCATTATATTAGGAAGGAGGTTCTGCTTATCTTATAATATTCTACTCAAAACGCATATAATAGATGGTATGAAACAAACAGATTTAAGATGAAATTGATAATATTGAAGTTAAAACATTATACCTGCTGTACAAGTTGTACCAGTCCAACCGGAAGCACAGTTGCACGTGAAACTATTCTGACCGTTTACACACTGCGCACCATTTTTGCACGGGTTACTTGCGCATTCATTGATATCTGTAAAATGAAAGTTTTATTTAGTGTTGTTTTTTTGTTGTTGTTGTTGTTTTTTTGTTGTTGTTGTATTAATATACACACAATATACAATGTCATAATTATACAAATACAATCATCATCGTTCCTAACAATATTATCGTGCAACCTATCCTAACGTTAGACAAATTAAGCTTTAATTATTTGAATCTAGATGTTTAATTATGTGAATCTAGCTGTATGTGTTATGTTAAGTTTCAGCGATGCTTAATTTTCAGTAATGTTTCGGGAACGTATGTAAGTTTTTAACTTAAAAACAAGTGAAGATAACGGAATAAAAGAATAAGAAATTAATAAAATGGATGTAAAGAGCATTGATGATGAAGAAGCGAATAAACTTATGTCATTTAATTGTATAAAGCTTAAAATGAATAAAATATAAAACAAGTGCTACATAATATTGACATCATATGTTAATATTAACATATCTTAATTATATTGACTGTTGACGAAATTACAAAAGAAGTGAGTACCAATCAAATAATGTGAAATTGTATAACACTATTGTATTTACTGTCAACAGTATACAATTTCCTTGTCAATATTTTGAAACAGAATAATTCTAAGATGCCTGTTTGCTCACATAGTAAATTTCCTTTCGAGCAAATGACACATGAACAAAATTATTGCTAATTGGTAAAATATATGCATTGTATTTAAGAGAGCAGAATGATATTTTGTTTCGGGGTTCCGACATTTCACCATCGTATGTGATGTGTGTCGAGATGGCCCTAACGGGACAACGTAGTTTAGACATCTTACTTCTCCAAACAATAACATGTTATATAAAAAATACTGAGGTCTTTCTTATTTCTATCATTCGTATCGTTTGTTATGGATACGCCATTTATATGAATCTTAGTTCTTAACCGAGATGTGAGCTTACTTGCCAATATTATAACTAAACATCTCAGCCCGAGAAAGAATAAATAGTATTGTCAAAAATACTTTGATTGGATTAATATTTAAATAAATGTTTAAATTTGTTGAATCATCTAGAAGGGACTTTGTGAAAACGTAGAAATTATCTTTTAAAGATTTACAAAAAGATACACAAATTGAAGATGATGATGATGATGGTGATGATGATGATGTAAATGTTGTTATTGTTGTTGTTCTTCTTCTTATTATTAATGTTGTTGTTGTTGTTGTTGTTAATGGTGACGATGATGTTTGTTTGTTTTATTTTGCGCCTTTTCCCAACAGTATTTCAAGTCATATAGGCAGGTAAATTCCTAACCATCGTTCCTGGAGAGTTACACCAGTACTAGACTACCTTCCTCCGCGCTAAACTACCAAAGCATCTCCCGGGGATCGAACCCACGCCAGAGAGGTAACCGGATTAGAAGTCATCGACTCTAATCCCTCGAGGCGGTCATGATAATAATAATTATTATTATTATTATTATTATTATTATTATTATTATTATTATTATTATTATTTTTATTATTATTATCATAATGATGGTAACGACGACGATGACGATGATGATGATACAGTTCTCATCATTATCCTATATAGTTTTGTACCTCTCGTAGTTGCTGAACGATTATAACAATTGACTGTATATACCTTCAGTATAAGACACAATCATATCTGAACTTTCGACTTATACCATATATTTGAACGATTAACACCAAAATGCTATTAAATTAAACAGCTGTATAATCCTATTATGAGATTTTATATTACCTTTGCCCTTTAAGTACCTAACCTTGTGCTACTTGATCAAAGTTTACATAACTTTCACTTACTTATTTAGATTAGCCGAGTTTTGACGGTAAGGACAAACGAGAAATAGTTTAAAATAATCCCTAGTCGTGAGCAATGTCTGCCCAATTTACACCTACTAGAATATATTATATATTAAAAATATGACGTAACAGTCTGAAGTTGTTCCATTTATTTATAATTTAATTGTTTTCAGTTTTACTCTTCAAGTTAAAATAAATAATAGCTCCGAAATGACTGCTAATACATGTATAAATTGAGTTTCGCTGATTTTTTCGCTACATTTACAATTTTCCGTAGAGCATCTGTCAGTCCAACGCATGCGCGAAATCCTTCTTCCGTTTTATTGGGCATCATTAAACACAAGAAACATATTGTCTTATCGCAGGAGCGTGTACAATCGCCTTGAAATAAATGCAGAATTAAATACCCTTGACCCAATAATGATATTGAATGACTTGCAATTGAACAGACAGATTACAGTTTTAAAAGTTGTTTGTGCCAAATATTACAGTTATAAAATAACATAAATACCTTGAACTTATAAATTCATAAGTGTAATAAGGTCAGAATGAATGTTGCATAAGTATCGAGACAAAATCCAAATTAAGCACCTGAGTACAATGAATTTGTTAGACGCTTACTACAGGCATGCATTTATAGGCATATTATGCTTCAAAAATCCAATAATTCATTATTCTTTAAAAACTACAAACTGATGTTTGACAATATTATAATACATTGTAATGGATTTTTTTTATAGTTGAACAAAGTAGCACCTCATTTGCAGCAATACGTCGTAAAGGTAGCAAAATGTAAACAAATTAGTAATTTGAAATCAATACAAAAGACTAACTCACTATACTTACACTCATTGCAAAAGCATAAAATAGTTCATGTGTATTGGCAAATGAGAATTTTTTGGAACCTGTACCAATAAAGATACAAACAAATGAAAATGATAGCATTAATGCGGTATAAGTAATAGAAAGAGCATCGAAACACGAGCTAGCTATCTGATTTGTACGAGGGGGTGTAGCCCCCGAGTATTAATCAGATTGCCGAGTGTTTTGATGTTCTTTCTCCTTTGTATCATAGTCAAACATAAAGACACGTTCCCTGTTGTCACAATATGAAACCCCGGCAAAAAGGAACCAATGAACGAACATCTGAATATGATATTTCTGTCGCTTTCCCTTTCTCTGCCGTCACATTATGTAAACCCCAGCAAAAATGAGCCAATCAATGGGCATGCTCTGGAGTGCGGGTAACAAATACCTGCACTCCAGTTAACGCACTGTGCATGTATATGTATACGATTTAACTTTGACACATTTTCAACAGAAAGGTCCCCAAACTATGATTCAATGGGTGACATAAAGTCCGGTGACAGTGAAAGGGAAACAAATAAACGAAATATGTGCATATTTATTACGTTTAGATTGATATTTTTATTATAAACGAAAAAGAAAGAAAAGTTTGGAGGTGATATGAAACAATCTCGAATTGGCCATGCTAGGTCACAGAATAAGAAATATGCTTATAAATCTTGTCGTTCACCCACGTGCTAGGTGAGAGGCAGACGAACTGCTCCCTATCAGTTACATGATATCAAAAACTTCTCATATATAAATTACCTCCACAGGTCGGCTGACTCCCACTCCAAACACCACCACTGCATGTCCGAGAGGCACTTCCGCTGGTAATTGTGTACCCGGCATTGCAGCTGTACGTGACGGTATCTCCAGGATTTGTTCCGGTAAGAGAACGTGAACCGGAAGTAATTGTCGCCGGTGTTCCACACGACAGTACTGAAATGAGGTAAATGCAAGAGAAATATTCAACGCAAATCTTATAAAGTTAGTAAACAACATAAAGATCATAAGTGCACAAAAAGTCAACTTGGTTCCGTTCTAAAGTTGAAATTTTTAATGTACCGTTAGTTATAATTTCCATACGTCCAAGATCATAATTTAAATACAAAATTTGATGCCATACATCGGACATATGATATGCACTTACATAGAGTGACTCAACATAAAGGCGTAATTCAACATTTAAGAAAATAACTCAATTTTGTAATACTAACTAGACATACATGGACATACATAGGCAAAAAACGGTATCGTTCTCTTTGAGCAATCTATACACCATAATAACAATCACACTTCGCAGGTCTCTATATAAATAACTTACTGAATTTCAGACCAATGGAGGCGCCGGCCACACCGGAAAAGCTGGTCGAGGTTTGATACCCACCACAACCACCAAAATGAATCTCAAATTGGCTAGCGAAAAATTCATCAGGAATGTAGTCTGCCGTGCTAGTAGCGGTCGCATAATCGTACCACACGTGCAATAAATCTGTTTTCCCGTGCGAATAACTTCCATAGGCTTTTCTCTGACTATTATACAACAGTGTAAAGTAACTGTTAGGGTTGCCGTCACAGTTCCGAAATGTAAAATCTCTCCCCTGGACTCTCCAGCCTTGCGTGTCATGGTAATGACTGACTCCGGCCTTGGGTACGAAACCGACGTACAGATACGGGGTCATGTGACTATTTCTTATTACGTTATACCCTGAATAGGAATTGTACAAGATGCCGAGATTCTTGCTCGAGTAGCGGGTAATTTGTGCCACTGTGGCGTCATACTGCTGTCCGTTCGTGCGTTTGTGTCTGATAAGAATCTCGGTCTTCTGGGTAAACAGCTGGGCTAGGTTTGGGTCCACATTTATAGTGTTTGAGATAAAAGCGTAGCCATAACCGCTTTTAAATAGGCAGTAAACTCTGAATGGTTGTCCTTGAGCGTTAGCAAGTGTATAAGTGCCGCTAGATGGGTGTGAACTCGTACTCGAGTATACTTCAGCACACGTTTCTGAAACAATGGTATATTTAACGGTAAACATATATGTCAATAAAGTAAAATGTAAATAGTAAATAGTGTTTCTCACACGTGAAGTATCTTGTTTCACGACAGAAGCGGCAATCGAAACATAATCGGCAGTGTCGACAGTGTAATATAACGTTACGTAACGTAAACGAACACGTCAGTGTCAATTGTTCACGAAAATTGAACGTTGAAAAACATGGCAGTTTGGAAAAGATTGGTTGCAATGAGTTAACTTAAAAAAAATTCAAACGAATTAAAATTCTTGTTTTTATAATTTCGAATTTCGATCTTCGATCTGGCTCGAAATTCAACTCCAGCTCGAAATTCGGGTTTTGGAAATATTTTGAATTTCGATCTTCGAGCTGGCTCAAAATTCAACTCCAGCTCGAAATTTGAGTTTTGAAAATTTTAAATTTCAATCTACGAGCTGGCTCGAGAATAACTCCAGCTTGAAATGGGGTTTTTGAAATTTTGAATTTCGATCTTCGGGCTGGCTCAAAATTCAACTCTAGCTGGAATTTCGTCGACACCGACGCCCTGGTAAGTTGGATAGCCACTATCTTTCTTCAAATAGCGGAACAAAAAAGACAGACAAACAAAAACAACATACTTGATCCTTTGACAGTTATGTAACAGGATAATAGTGCAGACATATAAATCAGATACAGATGGAAAAACTTCAATGACAGTTTCTTCATGATGTTGAATCTGAAACGAAAATTTAGTATCTGAAATGGCGCCGGACTAAACTTCACCAACTTAATCGTTTAGAAACACCAGGTCAGTGATGATTTACAGATGAGCAGATGAGACGAAGAAGAAAAAAGAATATATTTTTTGTTTAGATAACAAAAATATTACGATCATAATGAATTTCATTGCATGGAAAAAACGTCAATAATTTGAATAAATCATCAATAATTATCGAAATTCACAAATAACAATTATATTTTGAATGCTCAAAGTTTCACTAACCTCTATATTAATTTCCATCGCTATCCGTTGTATACACATATATCCATTCAACCACTTGTATATATTGTGACCGTGACAAAGAAAACAATGAAATAGCACGAGAATTTCATGATTTTACTGTGAATACTCTTTACACTATAAAAGCAAGTTTTAGACGTTAACTCATGGTGTTTCATTAGTAAATACCATAAGCAGTGACCCATTTGCACCATTTACAAATGTCACATGATCACCCATCCTGACACGGGGAGTACAACTCGACAAATTATTTCAGTGACAAACAAGCAGTTAGACGAAGCTTGCTCTGCAACAACGCATTGTTTGTATGGAGCAGAATGTAACAGCTAATTTAACCTGTGCAAGTGTCCGTCCGGACAAACGTACAACAGCATTTTGAAAATGTGTGTCACAACTGGTTTAAAGGCTATTACTGAGGAATGTTCGGCAGACAACGAGTGTTATGGCTACACCAGCTCTAACAGCAGTGGGTTTTTAACATTCTTGATACTTTGTGCCGTAAAAATGTTGTTCTTATTTGTTTAAATAATAAGTTTTGATAACTTTTCTAACAATTTTGTTATCGCCATGAACGTTTTAATTGGTATATTTTGAAATCCTTTAAAAATAATTGTTTAAACACGTGTGTCCAAGAAGTCTCATAGTCTAAGAAAATTATTTACGATTAACAAAACAATGTTTCTGTTGTTAATACAATGTATATCATAAACATGCAAAAGACTTCATTTAAACATTTGTCAATAATCGCACTCATGTTGAAATTTTAGCTAAATAACACTTGAACATGAACGTATAATACATACTATTATGTACTATATATCCTTATCTATTGTATATACGCGATGTTTTAACCAATAATGTGTTTGTCCTTTAGACTTTGCTTATAGTAGTTATAAAAGTAATAGCAGAAAGTGGCGGAATGTGAGAAATTTATTGTAGACGGCATGGGCTACAAAACATTTTTCCTCCATGGTTTTATAATTTTGGAGGACTCAGAGTTTCTTGCACACATTATTGTGATACTGCACTTGTAAAACCGGTTATATCACAGAAAACAAAATGTGCATAGTTCGTGAGTATTTATAATAAAATCATTTTAGATATATGCATGCATATATTTTGAATATACGAATAAGCACTTATTTATATATTTTATTAGTGCCATTGTTTGCCAATGTTAAAGTATATAACATTATTTCACTTTAACATCGAACCCATGTGTCATGATATATTGTCATATATGCCATATCATATGCTGCGTTTTATTTGCACTTGACCTATTAAGTACAATTTGGCGACCTCTACTGGCATCAAATGACGTTTGTATGCCATATATTTTGATAGCTCGTATAAATTCTGCGAGCTATGACAGCTTTTGTGGCAGACTGCTTTAGTTTTACCAACAGAATATTTGAGCCAAGTTATTGTTTGTGTAGTAAATATACTCGTAGTTCTTAAAACTTAACAAAAATGTAAAGATTTCATGTATGTGCGATCCATATTATACATGTACGTTTAGTTACATTTCTTATCAAGGAATTAGTGTAGGCGAACATTGTTGAAAATATTAACTTATGTGTGTATAAGTATGTAAGAAAATTGCCAAAGTCATCGCACAAGTTATATAACGCTTGGCTGCTCCACAAGTACTCGCGTGAGGATGATAATATTGTGTACACAGAGTTGGCGGTTATCTGATACATAGTGTAGATTTCCTGATTGCCCTTAGTTGGTAACGTTTACATCAGGATCCCAGACTACCTCGGCTATTTTTGTTATTTTTGCGAAATATGTTGTATAAAACAGAGCAAATAATGAGTATGTGTGACTTAAATCTTTGAGTAAATTTGTCGGCGTTTGGCGCCACCAGCACTTTCAGTGCTTAGATTCTGTTTTTTTTCCTGCCAATAATGTTTGTGTAAGTGTTAGTTGTAGCGGAGTATTTTAAATCGTCGTAAATAACAAAAACTGGCGGAGTTTATAACATATAAAAAGTTTGAAGATAAATGCAGTACATTAATTACATTTACGTATAAATTATTAAATTATGAGGGATGTTTCACTTATTCATTATCCCTCATGTACAGACTCAATCAAACCGAGTCTGCAATTCTTATGTAATTTTGTTGTGATTATACTTCAGAGGGATCACTTTCTTTCCAGATTTTTTTTACAATGAACAGAAGCCATTTTGTGAGACATCCATTTCAAGACCTGTCAGGTTTACTTAGTAAAATACATTTGTCATACAAAAAATAAAAGTTTCATTTCTTCCATTTTGAAAGCGCATGCAACTGAAGCTTGTACAACAGCGGTAGGATACACCAAACATTTTGACCTCGGTAGCAACCAAGGACAGGAGGCAGAGACCTGTGTCAGTAGTGTTTGTACATGTCCAAGCACATACGATAAAGTTTCCAGGGAGTATAGCGGTACTACATACACACTTTGTCCACTAGAGCTTGTGCAACAGCGGTAGGATACACCAAACATTTTGACCTCGGTAGCAACCAAGGACAGGAGGCAGAGACCTGTGTCAGTAGTGTTTGTACATGTCCAAGCACATACGATAAAGTTTCCAGGGAGTATAGCGGTACTACATACACACTTTGTCCACTAGAGTACGTAAAGATTATTATATTAGTCCGCCACACGACATCTGTTCTCGTTTCGAAGCATTGTCAACGTTGTGTTCATAAATGTATTCAAGCTAAAAGTTCTGTATTTTCACATTGCATCTGAAATGGAGATTGTGGGAGGAGATAAAATATGTTGTTTCAGACGGTTTAGATCATCAGTCATCGATTACAGGATTCGTGGAAATTATCGTGTGGTTTGCGTATGTTAATGTTTGCCTTACCTAGCCAAAGTCTATGTCGTTCGAGCTAATACCAGCCAGGCCATGTTTTTAAGTAGTCTAAGATACAAAACTCCGAATATCTTTAGAGTTATTACACCCAATGACATCAAGATTGATAAAAAATTGTCGAAATATCTGGATCAGTGGATGATTCAAGTGGATTAAATTTGTACATTGTAGAGCGGGGTACATTGTAGAGCGGGGTACATTGTAGAGCGGGCAAGACAGAAATACACTTTCATAAATATGTCTCTTCTAACAACCAATAAATTTTTGGCACTTTTGAATCACGCAAACCGTGTTCATTAATAATAATAATGATCTGTTTATAAGGGGGTTAAACTATATTGTTGAGTGTTAAAGTTTTGTTGCATATGTTACTGTGAATTGAGCAATGTCATTTTACAGCAAAATACACATCAAAGAAGGCGTCAGGAATTACATGCACACAAAGTAACCAGTGTTCGTCGCTTTTCTGTGACTCGTGTCCTGGAGAAACTGCAAAGAAATGTTTGGTGCTAGGTGAGTGTTGTAAAACTTATGTTCTGATGTTATTAAAGTTAAGACGGGAATCTGTTACACTGAATCGACTCATTCTAAATATCTATATACATGTAGTAACTGCTGTGCTATCAAATATATAATTAACATATTTTACACCTTACATACATGATAGTCTTGTAGAACACCTCAAAGGGGAAAAAAGCACTGCGTACGCACATCAAGCTTCTAGGGCGGTTTTGATACTGCCTAATAAAATATTGAGTGAGGCATAAAAAGAGGGGTATCCAATGATCACATGTTACTTGGACGCTCTTGATGTGATAGTTAATTTTTAGCCACTCATGAAAAGAGATATACACTGTATCTACTAGGATGGGTTTGATACTATGTGATAGCAAAATATTAGGCCAAGCATAAAAAACGGATAAAAAGAGAGGCTTGATACAAACTAAAAGATGTTGATACTTAGTTACAAAGTAAAAAACATGGGACTCGTTTTGCTCTTTGGCAATTGGTATTATTATAATGATTTTTATTATCTTGTATGGAAATCAAATTCTTTTTTGTTTGTTTCCATTTTGCTACCTTTAATACACATTAATGCACAATTACGACTTCTTTCTTCAGTGGTTTAACATGCTCTAAGCCCATTTTTAAGCATTATTAAACACATGTTTGACCTTTCGAAACAATTAAGGATATTGACTTCTGAGGTATAATGTAAAAAGGAAATACAAACAACATTTCATTTACTATTCTTAACTCTTGCTACATATCAACATTTTCCTGGAACGATTTGTTATTACAGATTAATGATTATTTTCATACTTTTATAAACAGCATCGAGCAATACAGCAGTGGCAGTCACAAGTTCCATGGCGGTACTCGTCTTTGCAGTTGGTATCACTTGCTATATGTTTTAAATGTAGTAATGATCGAAACAAAGTGGACAGAAATTTGGTACGTGTCTCGGGTTTACCGGGTGTATTTTCAAATAATAGATATTGCTGATATATAAACGTTCTATGTTTCCCTATGATATGGGACGCAGGTCACGTGACACCAGGGTTACATTATAGTCACAAGATAAAATAAAGGCCATTTTTCATACCACCAGGTCATAAAGTAATTGAACCGTTCGCGTGTCCGTACGAGGTTAACCGAAAACGGCAAGTTGAATTGATCTTATGTTCTACCTGTAACAATGTAGCTCATTTTTTTACTGTAATACTGTATAATTTTAAATTGTGGTTGTGAATAATTAATCTTATATTCTTTTTATTATTGTAGAAAAAAACCCTACAAAGTAACTTTTTATCATTGTTTCAGGCTGGTATTCTAAGAAAGTACATCGAGATGAGACTACTATCCTCGAAATTGATTTATCAAAAATTACATGTGTACCTATGAAACTTTTATACAATACGAAAAATATGCTTAAATTAGACAAATTGAAGCAAACTTTTGGAAATATTGGTGAAAGATTATCATAACATTTTAGAATAAACCCGTAAGTTAGATGTAATACACGTCAGAAAACTATAAAATACGAATGTTTTTTTTTCTCAGATGTTAGCATACAAAATGGTTGTCTGGTTGTTACATACGGTCACACCAAATTCGAAGTGTATTTTTAAACCATTCTGAAAACAAAATTTCGTATGCATTTCTTAAATAAGAAAACAAAAAATCCAATAAGAAGCTACTGCATAATTTAAAACAATCACAAAAAAACCCCAACTAAATGATAATTTGAGGAGTAATTTGGATTAATCGATTGTTAAAAATACATTCTTTTTTATATTTAGTGCACTATTTGACAAAGCAAAATGCTAAACGTATTAAACATTAGAGGCCCATAAAGTCCAACAATTAACAATTATGTTAACTCATTTCTGGAAATTTTAAAGGTATTTATATTATTAGCGTTATTTTACAATTTCCGACACAGAACCCGTTGCCCATATAACTGAATTATATTTTTGCTTTTAGGCCGTTAGTGAAGTTATAATAGTTTTTTGTATGGGAAACAAATTAAAAGTACCAGTTAGTTTACGTTTGTTTGCGTATTTCTACATTAATGGCATTTTTTTCGCATTTTCGCTACTTTCTGCACGTGAAACACGTATTAGTTGCAATGAAATATTATTAAACTTATACAGGTACATGGATTTGAAGATTGTCGTGTATTAAAACATTATAAAACGCCTTCTCTTCAGACGAAAAATCTTAATAATTTCTCAGGCTTAGTGTGCCTTTAGGAAAATATTTTATTAAACATATCTATCTTTATAAGACATTTACATTTATACAAATCAGCCATTTAAAACCTATCCTGAAAGCGTTTACGTAATTTCATGACATTTTCCCAAAATTTAAGATATTGATTATTAAAATTAACTTAACTTTCAAACATGTATCTACATTCAAAGAATTATCTGCAGTTTAATCATGTTGTTTATAAATAACCCCTTTAAATTTAAAATAGATTTAATGGTTGCTTGCTTGCCATTTGTATTTTTGCTTATTTTTATATTTTTATAGATAGTTATTCTTATGACACACAATGTACTCAAAACGTTGTAGAAGTATATATCAGGAGACGGTTATATGAAGTAATTATGCTTACTGTTTGACAATATTGACCTGCTACTCATTAACCGTAATTTATTATGATTTACGCTTAGGAGTTTAATGATAGTATAGATCTCGATATTAAATCAATTAATACTTCTCGGTGGCCTATTGCTAAGGACGACGAAGTTGTGACACAGTTGTCGCAAGTCCGAATCTTGGACAAATCCTTTTTGTAGTTCCTTTTATTTCTTATAATTATAAGAAACGCGAGTTGATAAATCGTGTTTCATTTCTAGCATTTGTTTTCATTTCATAATTTTAATTAATTTAATTACAATATGTGCTCCCGACAGGGACTTTGGATTCTTTCATGTGAGGAAGCTATCCGGCTAGCTTACGGAACGTCGGTGGTCCTACTCAGGTGCCAGTTCGTGCCTGAAATAATGCTTGGAGGGGCACCAAAGGTCTTCCTCCACCAGTAAAGCTGGAACGTCGCGATATGACCTATACTGTGTCGATGTGACGTAAAATCCAAAACAAACAAACAAAATACAATATGTGCGACTTTACATGCATCCACATCACATAATGGTCAAGTTTTGAAAATATAAAAGAATTAATACAAGAAAAAAAAAACACTTGATCCGAACCTACAGTCTTCAATTTAAAACCAAGTGAGTCTAACACCTTGTCACCGAGGCTTGTAAAGGTAATTCTACTTTATACATATACCGTCGTACCATACATTAAATTCCGTATGGTTTATCCGGAATCCAGTAATTGCCGAGAAAAAGTCATTGAATATTAAAATGTCTTATGTCAATATTGTCAAACAATACGGTACCTTTTCTAGGCATTTCGTGCGTGACCCCGATCATCAGAAGAAGTGTTAAACTATTTTACAGTATAAGTCAACAAATACAATGTATATTATCAGAATTAGTGATTACATTTATGTATATCATATGACCGTCTCTTTATGTCAGATTGTGTTGATATATTGATAATGAAGCGATGAACTTTGCTGATATATAAAAAATCTGTATCACCATAATATGACAGCAATGTTGTAATAAATGTGAAAATAAAATAAAAGTGTTTTTATCTTACATTTGTAAATAGATTATGCCGTGATAAGATATACAAATTAAAACAATTGAGACAAATATAGGGAGGTAACGGTCTAGGAAAATACCACCCCTCGACCACATTATAAAATATGGAAGTATTTGAGCTACTGATCAATTCTTTAAAGTCTCATCGAAATCGCATTAGTGGTATATAAAAGGATAAGTATGGAAATCTTTAAAAAGAGCCATTGCTCTGATAAAAATCATTAAACTGGGAAATGCTGGCGGTATGCACAAGTAGACTTGGTACTGATTATTCCTGTAATGTTTGGATACAATTGCGCAATAAGTTTCTGAGAAGTAATTCAGACAAGTTTTGTAGCAGGCGACACAAAGAAGGACAGGATTACGAACAGTTTTTATTTACATGTAATAATTTGTCCAACTATATTAATCTCTGGGAATATATTATTTTTCTTTGTTCACATAATTATACATTTCATCTTTTTCTATAAATAGTTTTCTCAATAATCATAATCATCCTCGTGCAGTCTCTGTCAAAACAATCATCACACAAGACATGACTATTGTGGAGAAGTCAAGGATACCTGAAATGAAATTACAACAATATTATCAATTAAACTTATAATACAACAGACTGGTGAGTGCTATGTGGCTGTCAGTACGTTGGTGTTTATGTATTTTCATGGTTCTTCAAGTTTAACGATTCAAAATGAATTCTGAGATTTGAAAAAAAGGAAAAATGTTCAAAATGTATAAAGCTACATTGAACTGATTTTTTCAGAAGAATATTTGCTTGTATATTGATTAAATGTAAACCAAAATAACTAAAGAAAAGAAACACAAATGCCCCGGCCAAAATTCTTGTCAATAACAATTTTTAAGAAAGGGTTTATCCGTTCACTCCGTAATAGACATAAAAAGTGCAAAAAAGAAAAGAAAATATAAACACATTTATATAACTTGGCATGACGTTTTGTTATTGTAAAAAATATAAGTTGGCATGCCATTGCTATTTGATAATGCAGAAGTTGAAAATATTTAACATACAAATAAAAATTCATCACATATGTTTAGGTGAAAGACCTTGACCTAGAACCTAATGACCCCAAATTCCATCCAACTAAGATAAGTTTCTTTAAAATATTAGACATCGGTAAAGAAATACAAAGGCTGTTTAACTAGAAATGTGTCGATAGGACACAGGTGCCCCCACACTCCACTGTTTTGTCAATCTTATGACTCTAGGTCAAATATTTTTTGGGCAACATGTGCCATAAGTTGAAAACTAAAAATCTTTTACTAAGTGAAGGGTTAGAACTTAACAAATACTGAATAAATCCACAAGCGAACCCCAAGGTGCATAAGTACACATGCTGACCAACATTCTTGTAAACTTTCAGGCCTACAGGTCTAATACTCTTGAGCTATGCATGAACAAGTTGAAAATTGCAAATTTATACCAAGTCATGGGCAATAACTCTAAAAATGTGAAAAAAATCCACATGCAAAGTCCCAGGTGTATAGCTTCACAGTGATGTGGATGATTATTCCTGCAAAGTTGATTGATTCTAACTGAAGCACTCAAGGAACATATAAAACAAAAGTCAAGGGCAATAACTCTACAAATACTGGATAGATCCACAAACGAAATCCAAGGTGCACAACTGCATCCCTGTAAAGTTTCATGACTCTAGTTTATTTGAGGTACCACGACACAAATTGAAAATTGCAAATTACCGTTGGTCAATGGCAATAACTCTGACAAAACATATTAATTCACAAGCGAAACCCCGGATGCAAAACTTCACATGCTGATCAACATTCTGACCCTCTGTTAAATACTTTTTGAGCTACATGTGACACAAGTTGAAAATTGCAAAAATTTGTACTATGTCATGGACAATAACTCTACAAATACTAAATAAATCTAAACGAAAATGCTCAGGTACATAACTACACATGCTGATCATTCCTGTAAAGTTGCATGGCCCTAGGTCAAATAATTTTGAGCTATGTGCAACACAAGTTGAAAATTGTAAATTTTTATTAAGACAAGGGCAATAAATTTGCCAAAACAGAATAAATCCACAAGCTAAACCGCAGGTGCACAACTTAACATACTGATCAACATCCCTGTAAGGTTTCATGACTCTAGGTCATATACTCTTTGAGCTATGTGCGACACAAAATGAGAACGGACAGACGAAGACGGAAGGACAGACATGCCAACATTAGGGGTTTATGTGCTTGTTCTCTGATCCTCATAAACCAGTAAAATTACCACATAAACCAGTCGGTTTATGGGATTTCCTTTTTTTAACTAAAATTATGGCTGGAATGAAGCTCATAGACCATTGGATGTTTGCCCGGACAGACGGACAATGGTAAATCTAAATCTCTCCCCCTAAAGTGGGGGCACAAAAATTATATTGTTATTGTTATTCTTTATGTCAACATATATTTATTTAACTTACGTAAGCACAAAAGTTAATTACGCTTTCAACCACAACAAAAAATTTCAAATGAAATAGTGTTGGTAAAAAAGTTTTTAAAAATGTGTTGTTTTTTCACAACAATTGGTAAATTATCAAAAAGTTTATCATACATTTTAAGGTCCCGCTAGAGTATACCTCAGTTACATACAGCAAGTTGCTTATTGTCACCGGAAGTACCGATCTTGGTCGCCTTGACGCTCTCATTTGAACGCTTCTTTTTTCTCGGCTACATGTCGTCTGTAATAATGATACATGTATTTAAACTTTAAACCGGTTATTATTTAGACGACTAGAAGAGATTTTAGTAAATGTGTATACATATATTCGTAAAAACCAATCTTTTGGCAATCATCCAATTGTATGTTAATTTTAAACACTGATGGAATGCCATACGATCTTATGGCAAACTTTCACACTACAAATTTTTTATCTGGAATATTCTCCGAAGTTAATATAAGAGTTTTAGATTGCATTTACATTAACATAACATTATTTGCATACCATACAAGCTGTAGGAGTTGTTTCGGATGGACAGATTTTCAGACTACATTTCAAGAATACACTCTCATAGCCGTAAAATTTGAAGGCATTTAATCTGGCGGAAGCAGTTCCATTACTATAAATGTCAAAGTGACTAATGAGGTCATTGATGACCGCACATCTGAAATATTACAACAAAAAACATATAAAACATTATTTTTATTCACATCTATTGTGTTTTAGTTTAGGCAATAAAGCAATAAAGAAATGTAGATCTACGTTTTTTTATTTATTTATTTTTGTGAGGCAAAACTCTAATATTTTCATATGTAAATCTACACTAGTGGATATGCGATCCAGATAAAAACACGCTACGCACATTCACAATACGGACATTTTGTTTGAATCCCCAACCCTCGGCGAAAACCAGTCTTAATAACTCTTGATTCTCAGGCAGTTACATAATAAAATACAAATAAAAAAATTATTTTAAATTCGACAGTATTGCAATGAATATATATCTAATTAAAAAAAACGTCTATCCAGTTGATAAATTAAAGAGATTTATAAGGATTAAATCAAGATATAATTCGCCAGACTCTGACATACCCTCCATTAGAGATCAAACTGACATAATCTGAGGATGAGTCATCGTTACCCGGATACGCCGTGCAGCTACTTACTTCTAAACTATAGTGTTCTACAAATTTAATGTATAAAAATCAAATCCAAAGATAATCAACGAATTGATATTTTATAATTTAAACAAGCGAGGCAATATAGGCTTGAATATAACTTTGCTATACGTATTTTCACGCCTTTTCACCGCCGCCCCTCTTGTGGAGACCTTGAATAGTGAAAAAATGTCCTATTTAGACCCCAACACTTGTTTTCGTTTGAGGATTGTTGTTAAACATGTGATCATTTTTTTTCGGAACCATCCCCTTTCAAATGGATTTATGAAGGGTTTGTCATAGTGGGGATATGCCCCCTTCTGCTTAGGGGTTTAAAGGGGGCAGCAGACACTCATCTCCAAGAAATTGTTTGGTTTTGGACTTGGGGGAAGCTAACAAATGGCATCAGCCCGACCTTAAGGTAATGTGTAACCAACACTGAAAAGCCTTTGACTTTATCTTAATCCATTGAGAAGTTGCAACACTTTGAAATCAGTTTTGATAGCGAAATAGTGATTTTGGCAATTTTGAGATGTCTCCTCAATGCCATGGTATCAAGAAATTTAAGAATGAGTTTCAGCTACAAAGGCTATGGTCCAGCCAAATGTGAAAAGTATTGGAGCCTTTTCGAATTTGAATTTGTAACAGGGGGATTTTCAATGAAAAGAGCCATTTTAAAACTTTATAGAGGTATTCTAGGCAACTTTATGAATGCGTTATTAGTTAGTATAGTAGTTATCCACAAAAATGTGTTTTTCCATACATTAGTCTACATAAAGCAAATCACTCCATGGGAAGAACCAATTTGGCCTGATGTTCGTGGTTGATAAAACTTTTGTAAACATCTATAAATTTATGCTACATGCCAAATGTTTAAGATCTGTGCTTTGTAGTTTCACACAATAAGACTTAAATGTGTTTTCCTCCATAAGTTTATATGAATCAATTGACCCTGGGGCGGCCAAACATTGACCCTTGGGTCATGATAACAGTTTTGCAAAGGTCAACAAGGTTATGCCGCATGTTAAATATCTTAGCTCTTGGCACTGAAGTTTCACCCAATTAGACTTAAATGTTGTTTTTCTATATAAGTATTCACGTACAAATGAGGTGACTCCCGGGGTTGGCCATATATTGACACAAGAGGCATGATAAGAAATTAATATCCATAAGGAAATGCTACATGCTCTTGGCATTGTAGTTTTACACAATAAGAATCCTATAATTTTTGCTATAAAAGTCTATATAAAATAGATGCATGATTAATATCCATTTTGTAGTGGCCAACAAGACAATGATACATGACAATCTTTTAAACTCTTGAGACTGAAATATGTTTTCTCAGTAAAGACTATACCAACCAAGTGACCGCAGGGGCGAGGCCAATTTATACCAAGAAGGCATGATTAATACCAGTTATGTTGTGGTCCACAAAGTGTGCTTTATAGTTTTCTCAAAATAAGTCTAAGATGTGTTTTTTACTATATATAAGTCTCTATAAATCAAGAGTCCCTGGGGGCGGGGCAAAAAAACCAAAGGTCATGATGAATATCAGCATTGTAAATGTCAGTAAGGTAATGCTACATGCGAAATATATATAAGCTCTAGACATTGTAGTTTTACACAATGAAAATTAAATGACTTTTCCTCTATAAGTTAAGTAACTCTCAGCTAAAACATGTGTTCTGCTGCAAAGTAATTTTTCTGCCGAAACGTTAAAATTTCTTTCTACCGGTTTGAAAGATACAGAGCAGACAAGATAATTATGAAAATGACTAAGTGTGAACTTGACCTTTATCTAAAGAAGTTCGAATCTGTGCTCTCATGGGTTAATATCTCTGCCTAGTAGTTTCAATTACCTTCCACCAGTTCAAAAGAAACAGACAAAATTGCTAACTGACGGATGGAATATAATAGAACAGGCATCCTTAAAATCATATATCCGAGTTTAGGTACTAGTTACATTTATATATGGCGACATTCAAGCTACCTTTTAATTGAATAACAATTAATTTCACCACAAGCATTGACATGTGATCTTTTGTAGTTACGGTATATTTTTGTATTCTTCCCAAGCGCAAATTAAGCGGCTACTTAAACTTATCATCTTTTTTCATAAATACTAGCCGGGTAGCTGACAGGACAGCCTTGTTATTTTTAAACAAAAGTATAAATTGTTAACTATTTCTAAAAAATAATAAAAAAAAAATTAACGGAGAGGAAGGCATTTTGCGGCCCCAAGTAAATTTTTCACTGCATGTGCTTGTATGCTTGATATGTATACAACAACTTGCGAAATTAGAAAGTTTTAAACCCCCAGTCGAGGTCCGAACCCATAGCGGTGCGGGCCAAGAAATTAAGTCAGCGTAATTACCAGAAACACTGATCCACAGAGACATTCTGCCTTATTTGGAAAGAATTGTCGTTTGAAAAACACTACCATAATAATTCTAATTGAAAATTAAGACAGAATTACAAATTGATGTAGTTGGAATAGAGTAGGAACTATCGCACAACAAAATACAGTTGTAAAGAAATCCCGTATTTTGTATCGCATTTTCATGTGTCATATTTACCTGGAAAGAGTATGGTCCAAGTTATTTCCTTTCCCACAGTTGTTGAAGCTGCACTTAGTAATGACTTCACGCTGTATGTAGGATCGATTTTGATGTCATCGTCTATGCCTAGCCTGGTTGTAATAAACCAATAGAATCATTTGTACTTTATTTGTATATAACCAAACACTTCAATAGGTTAATAAACCGAAATAAGTTAAAATATAATTAAACATGACTTGTCAGAAGCGCTAAGTTTTGTTACGCTTATCTGCATGAAAAAAAACCGCTCATGATTAAGATTAAGAAAAGCGGAACAAATCAAATAAAAATGACAGGTTCCCTGTCTACAAAAACAGACAATTTTAAGTTGATGATCCATAATAAAAACAAAATTCTTACTGTGTTGAAAAAGAACTGTTTACTGAATGAATAACTCCTTCATCGGAAATCTCCAGACAAATTAATTTTAGTATCACCAGATTTCTGCCGCCATGTACCTTGTATGTAACCACTCCACTGTACGACCCGTATGTAACGATAATTTCCTCATCCTGTGTACAATATAATTAAATACGAAAACTCTCCATTTAATAATAAGTGATAATATTTATTTAGACTGAATACTTATTTTTTATTTACGAGCACTGTTTCTAGAAAAATATCACAACTCGGCATCTGCAAGAGAGATTCGTATTGGATTCGTTTTCCAGATAGTTAATGGTCATTTGAGGTAATAAAGTCATTTTGTATTTAAAAATACTTTTGTGATGCGCATTTCCCTCCCTTGAAAAACTCATAATCAAGGCAAGCGGCAATAAAAAGGCTATTTCTTAATATACAAAACGATAAGAAAGACACTTAAACTGCAAACAGAATATAACAAATACCCATTCATACATACTGGTAAAAGATTGTTTCTGAAGATACTCCCTTATACATTTCTCAACCTCATAAATTTTGTCAATAATATAAATCTACTAAAAACGAAAATTACTTACTTTCTACTGCACTTGCAGTTTTTATTGTGTGTTCGGCGCGCAAACCAGTAGCGCATTTCAACATTAATCTTTGCATTTTCAGAATTGGAAAAATTTAAGATACAAATATTAGCGTTTTTATACCTTTGAGCATCCAGTCAATGTCACAGTTGTTGCATTTTCGTCGTGCACCGTACAAGGTATGTCATTTCCGTTCTCGACGACTTGCATGGCAAATAAGTAACTATCTTCCGGCAGATAGAACAGGTTAATACTGTTATCGGGATTACACCGGTATCGTAACTGAGCTAAAAATACAGTAAAAGATATAGTTAGATTGTGGATGTCAGTTGATTTAGAAGTTCTAGTCAGTGCGTCATACACTATATTGTGGTGAAATTTAGCCAAATGGCCCTCCAACCAACCGCGTTAAATATTTGTAACTTTTTATAACATATTATTATATGGACAGCAGCAGGGTCGTTGCTCTAAAACTGGGACGGTAACATATTGAAGATAAAATAGCCTATATACGAGATCTACTTAAGATGTCTGTGCTCAAATCAAAACAGGTATATCATTTTCATTCTATTTCTCTCATTGGTTCGTAATTATATAAGGTACAATCAAAATGCAGTAAATTACAGGATCGGAAAAACCTGCGCCACCACCTGAGGTTCTTTTTCCCACTACCTATAGTTAACCGGGCCTAGCACCGCTTTTATGCCGCTAACAGACAAAAATTGTGTTCTTAACGATGAATAAACTCAGAATTGTGTCTGTACATACAAATACATGAAACTCCATTGCCGTTATATCCCCAATTACAAGTACAAGTAAAACTGCCGGGCGTATTGTCACATTTAGCATCTGGAGAGCAATTATGGTCACCATCGGCGCATTCGTCAATATCTGAAATCAAACGAAAATGTGTGTATCATCAAACAGTTCTTTTGTAAATGGATAAAGAAGGCTTTTACATACAACAGCCCATGACTCATGCAGGATAATTTTAACAATATTGAGGAGAAATATTTTTGGCGTCAGCAGGCTTTAAAACTATGGTTAATTATACAAACATAATTCGTCCTTAATTTACGAAATGAAATGAGGTAGCAGTAATTAAAATGAGTTTTACATTTAACAGGATGTTTAAATCGACAGAACAACTTCAACTTTTAAAAGCCACATTTTCTGAACAGGTTTTATACATCAAGTAAAATACCTCTTATTCATTTATTTATCATATCTTTACTTTCGTTTCAGTTTCATGTTTAGCTCTTAAATCGATTAATCGCTGAATATTGTTTCGTGTTTGTGTGTACGTACATGCAGCCAAGCAAGGCTATAGACTGCTGGAAGTTCAGTTTTTGTATTTGGATAAATAAATCCCTAATATTTTGAAAGAACTATTTCAAAATGAAAATACAAAACATCAGCAGACTAACAGTTAATCAACATAACAAAAATCATCCAGTGTTCAATGACCTACAGTTGATAGCTTCATTCTTATATTTTGAATGTAGCCTTTACCGCTTAACTTTCATCTATTATGTTTTTAACAGTGCGCATTTGTAACTTCTGTTCATATTTAATAAACAGTACATGGGCATCGTGTTTAATGAAAATAAATGTTTCTTATTTTCATCATTAAAACATTCACGATTAAAGATATGATTTGCAGAGTCATTAACAAATTTCATTTTAATACACCTGCGAATTTAACATTCAGTGGTAAGGAAATAACATAGGAATCTAGTTAACTTACCCGTGCATATATTACCGTCCCCTTTATACCCTGTATTGCAGATACACGTGTAGTTTCCATTGACACTTACACATTCAGCATTCACGTCACAGATGTTAGGAAAATAACAGCCTGAAAGAAAAATTGACACGTGTAAGTAAAGGCACAAATTGTGTTAACGATAAAAGCGGTCAATAAAATGCGTGTTTTTGCAATACATTTTAATCATATTGAAATAAAGACGTTTCAACTTTACATTTGAGTCAATTTGCACACAATGTGCAAGAGATATAATGTTTATGCTTTGGAAAGACGATGTCTATTCTTGCATGTTAAAGGAGCAGACTTGTTTATTCTATTCAGCGTTGCTAAAGGAGAGCTTCCTGATGTAAAGCTCGTTCTATTGCCACTATTTAGTATTAAGCGTCCTAAAAGTAACGTGCTATAATCCGAGCGTCCACTGTTTTGGTAATTGTCATCAAGAAGTATTCTTCACGTATACAGATTGTACTATCATTTTACATCAGTAGACCGTTTTATTACGTATATGTTAGTGTTTATTAAGTGGATTATTTTATAATAAAGAACCCCAAAGGAAGCGACCAGTTTCTTCTTGTATTACTTTATTAAACAGTGATTAACAATTCATTAAATGCATACACGTGCGCGTTAAGTTAATAACATTTCTATTCGTTTACATTGTAAATCACATGATTATTAGGGACTATTGTTGCACGAAAAAGTACGAAATAAATTTTTAAAAAAAATCAATAAATTATTTCATTGCGGGGTTATCAAATTAATATCTTCATCATTCCGTATTTTCAATTTTATCGTATTTTCATTGATGCTAATGTCTAATCATTCATTTTGTTTGTCTGTGTTAAATATGGCATTAGCCATAAAACTTTTATCATGATTGTTTGTTTGTTTAATTGGGTCGACACATTATATGTCATATGGCGACGTTCCAGCTTTACTGGTGTATGAAGACCTCAGATGTCCTTCAGTGCATTATTTCAGGCACGAACGGGCACCTGAGTAGAACCACCGACGTTCCGTAAGCTAGCTGGATAGCTTCCTCACATGAAAGAATCCAAAGTCCCTGTCGGGATTCGATTTTGTTTTTTGTTTTTTTGTTTCATTTTACGCCTTTTTCCAACAGTATTTCAGTCATATAGGCGGGTAGTTTCCTAACCATCGTTCCTGGGGAGTTACACCAGTACTAGAAGCCACAGCGGTGAGGGGCAAGTGGTTTGAAGTGAACGACCTTAGCCACTCGGCCACGGATGCCCCTTCTATCATGATAGACGACAGTGAAAACCTATATGACTAAAGGGTAACTAATTGTATTAATAAGCTTAGCAATGCCTAGCATTTACTACACAAAAATATAAATAAATAAGCTCGTTTTTAATAATGATCTTTATGAAATGATAACTCTAAATGTGTTCACATTATCATTATCAGAGGGACATGTATGATTCACTGGCGTAATTTAACTAGCGTGCTCGTAACTGACGTAGTCTACGTAGAGTGGTTATGTTACGTTTGCCCGTAACACATACCATGAGTGGTAACTTACCCGGTGCGTTCCAAGGAACGTACCATGTGCGTTGTTCTCGCAGATGTAAAAGTTACTTGACGGGCATGTATTATTTTCCCATATACTGGCCGGTAAACTGTCCGTGAAATTGCCCATGTTTAACAATGTCCAGTTTGTCACATGCACGCTGGTGTTTTCTTGTCGTAGCCATAAACATACTTCAGGGGAAGTAGGAAGTGATATTTCTGTAACGAAAGTTTGCTACATCTACATTATAAGGCCTCATAAATCATAAAGGTTATACAAATAAATGACGAATTATAAACACAGTTTTGTTTGCAATACTTGCATCATAAAAGATAATTATTAATTCAATTATTCAAAGGATGTAACAAGCAGAAATTAACTGAATATTTCTATTCATATTTTCAAAATTCGATAAAATAAGAACAGTTTAACGAAATATACAAATGCATGTGACTTTAGAGAAAACAGTGTTCAAATTTAAAAGCAATCCGTTACAAACTTTTAAAATGAAATGGTTAAAAATTGCCCCTCTTGAAAGAATATATATTTTGCAAAGTTTCCTTTTGCTCTTACCTATTAGCTCCCGTTCGCAGATATATCGGACAGTAGACTGGCAGGTAAAATCTTTCCACCCAGAGACGGTTTCATTTGAGAACAAAGTAACACAGTCTTCATTGTTTGAACCGCTCGGACTTCCGTTGACCCAGTTCGAAAAAGTCAAAGGTTGTCCCGAGTTCCAAATAAATTCACCTTCGTCGTTCTTACTACTTAGTCCAATCCAGAATGTGCCTTTTTTTGCATACAAAATCAATCGTAAATCATTGGGCATTCCAAGATACATTGTTAATTTTACTTGTAATATTAGTGTGAAAGATGATTTGAGTACTTGTGGGAAGTTTCAGAGAACAGTTGGTCTAATCTCTAACGACAGATAAAAATATTATTAAGATTAAAAGGTGGTAGTGTGCTTACATGCTAAAAAAACATACCAATGATTAAGCAGATTTAAATAACAAGGCACAAGCTGACACTAGCATATGAATTTGATTGTTCTATCTACGTGCGCCTCCAACTTATTAGTATACGTATTATCCAATATACCAAAATAAAAAATTGTGGAAACCACCTTTCATAAACCACAGTACGTACACCTCTCCGTCGAGGCTGATTCTCCTATAAATTACCAACAAATGTAAAGTACAGCGACTCTTTACACTTTTTTTATTATTTTATATATTTTCATTATTATGACATCGCTGACAATTTGATAAATATTATAACTGTAGATTTTAGAATAAGTCAATGATCATAATAGACAAACCCGTGAATAGGGACTTCTACAACTGAGTCATATTATTGACATAATGACAAATATGCATTGCAAAAACACATCATTTTATGAACGTTCCCAATTTAAAATGCATTATAGCATAAACAGTGATCAAGTTATCATTTTCTCAAATTTCAAACAAATCGAGAGAGAAAGAGAGAGACGTGTCTCGTGTTAAAAATTTGCGTGTTCTTGTAAAAACAATAAGGATGAAATACTAAGTAGTAAAAAGAAATTGTCTAAAAATGAATATGTCAATGTCACTAAGTAGCCCTACCCCCACACACTTATCATATAATACATCACTAATACAATCTTCATGTCTGGCTGCTATGCTAAATTATCAAATCAAAATGATACTTGTAACCTATTGATTACAATATCACCAGCCACTAGAGGCGTCAAGTTTATCCATTTAAACTGGTACGGTCGGTTTGTAGCTAAAAAACTGGTTAGAAAATTCAATAACCGTAATTACGGTTAGTATTTCATAATTTGGAGTTTAAAATTGATTCTAAGTATTGCATGTACCTTGGGTTTTTTTTAACAAGATATGACAATTGTTTGTATTTTAGTTGTACTCATCAACGTATTTTTTTTTTCGATCTGATCGAATACGGTACGACCCTAGCTCCATATTCTGATATTGTAATTATTATGAGTACAACAAAATACTAACAAAATGGCATATTTTGCCATAAAGATACATAGAAAATTTTAAGGAACACTGATCGCTGAAAATATCTCACTATTAGTCTATAGATCTATGGGAATACATGTATCTCTCAGGCATTATAGTAAGATAAACAGATTTAAATTTATTTAATATACTCTTCTCGTCTGATCATTTTTGTAAAATAGTGGAAATAAGAATCCCTTTAGAACGTCTAAAACGACAAAATTGACAAATGTTGATAAAGCCTGTTCATAGACGGTACTGGAAAGTGCAAGCTATCATTCACCCCCTTGCACTGGCTTAACCACAAAATGGTAAAATTTTGAATTTAGAAGAATTCGGTTGATGTGTCCATACGGCGTTTATCAGGAAACCTTCAATGTGACACGTGAGTGCCATTCCATGAAAGCGGCATATGGTCCCAAGGTAAAAGAATGCGTTTTCCCTAAACGAGAAAACAATTGACGAAACTAAATAAAATGGAACTTTGAAAGGGGGTCAAAGGTTATAAAGCCTGCATGTAAAAAGACAAGTTTAAAACACAGTTATCATGCCCTTACCTCCCTAAAATAATAATAAAAAAAATTTATAACTAACTTACCATCACTAGGAATAAAAATTGGGGATTCGTCAAGAATTTCTACAAGTGTCGCGTTCTTTGCCTGACATGCCATCTAAGGATATATATAACAAGAACTGTCGGAGGACAGTAACGCTCGACTATTCGAAAATTTATCACAAGGGTGTTTCATAGAGTATAATAATGCTTACCTATATGAATACATAAAATTGTCCGAAAAGGTACAAACTCTTCAAGTTTCAATACATTCCCTTCAGTAGTTATGGAGATACAAGCTTACATACAAAAACTTAACCAAGAATTCATGAGTCGAAAAAGGGGCATAATTATGCAAAAAAGCAAATCTGAGTAATGGGGCTTGTACCAATCATCTTAGATAATCACAGAGACCAAGTGTGTGAAGTTTCAATACATTCCCTTCAGTAGTAATGGAGATACCAGCTAACACGCAAAAACTTAACCAAGAATTTTTAAGTCGAAAAAGGGGCACAATTATGTAAAAAAGCAAATCAGAGTTATGAGACTTGTGCTAATCATCTTATATAATCACAGAGAACAAGTGTGTGAAGTTTCAATATTTCCCTTCAGTAGTTAAGGAGATACCAGCTTACATACAAAAACTTAACCAAGAATTTCTAAGTCGAAAAAGGGGCAAAATTATGAAAAAAAAAGCAATCAGAGTTATGGGACTTGTGCCAATCATCTTAGATAATCACAGAGACCAAGTGTGTGAAGTTTCAATACATTCCCTTCAGTAGTAATGGAGATACCAGCTTACACGCAAAAACTTAACCAAGAATTTTTAAGTCGAAAAAGGGGCACAATTATGTAAAAAAGCAAATCAGAGTTATGAGACTTGTGCTAATCATCTTATATAATCACAGAGAACAAGTGTGTGAAGTTTCAATCAATTCCCTTCAGTAGTTATGGAGATACCAGCTTACATACAAAAACTTAACCAAGAATTTCTAAGTTGAAAAAGGGGCATAATTATGAAAAAAGCAAATCAGAGTTATGGGACTTGTGCCAATCATCTTAGATAATCACAGAGAACAAGTGTGTGAAGTTTCAATCAATTCCCTTCAGTAGTTAAGGAGATACCAGCTTACATACAAAAACTTAACCAAGAATTTCTAAGTCGAAAAAGGGGCATAATTATGAAAAAAGCGAATCAGAGTTATGGGACTTGTGTCAATCATCTCAGATAATCACAGAGAACAAGTGTGTGAAGTTTCAATCCATTCCCTTTATTGGTTAAGAAGATACCAGCTTACATACAAAAACTTAACCACAGGGACGCCGACGCCGACAAATGGGTGACTGCATTAGCTCGATTATTCTGCGAATAGTCGGGCTAAAAACAAAGCAATTCAATAATTAAATTGAATTTATATTGCGGTGATGTTTTAATGATACTTTTTGCGACGTTTGAATTTTTTAAATCATGCCCTCCATGCATTAGGCAAATCGTCTGTTATTTGATAAACCTGTGATTTACTCGCAACATGAACAAGGTAGGCGGAAACCAAACTGTACTTGAACCGGAAATGACTGTTACTATACAGTTACTGCTTGGCAAATAAAAAGCAGGATAAAACCATATTAGTTCCGCCAGTTCACAGTGACGTGTAGTTATACCAATAGCTGAAACGGTAACATATCAGTAATTTCTATAATTTATTTAAGAATACTCTAATACAAAGTGTTCTGCAAAATTACATTTTGAATTAATAGGTTATTTAATTCGAATATTGAGACAAACAAAAATTGTCAAAAAACTCTTACGTTCGCCTGGTCCCAGGTTACTGCACCTGTGCTATAGTAATAACACTTCGTGCCATACAAGACCCATCCATCTTCACACGCTGCTGATACAAACAAAAAGATATGTGTATTACATTTAACCAAAGCTTATGTGTCATTTTCATTACTTTCATTCATTAAAAGCTCATGAACTTTATCTTACATTCGTAACTTTCTGTTTCCAATTTTACAAATTTGTAATATAAAGAATTAATAATATACTCGTACTTTGTAGCAATACGACGAGCAAGTCATCACACCTTTACTAGGTCTTTATAATACACATGTATTATAAAGAAAAATACCAAAAAGCCTGAATTTAGTAAACGTTCTGTGATTTTTAGGAAAAAGAAAAGAAATACTTAATGTAGTCTGATTTGAGTACAAGTTTTATGATTATAAAGAAAAAATTACAAAATGCCTGATTTGAGTAAAAGATGTATAATTTGAAAGAAAAAAAAACCAAATATAGTCTGATTTAAGCATAATTGAGTGTTTTGATAACAAACAGCCCGATTTAAACATAGGTGTTTATAATGGCCATTAGGAAAAAGGCCATTAGATTTGAGCATTAGTTTTATGTTTATATAGGAGAAACAGAACCTTATTTAAACATTCGGAGATGTTGAAGATTCGGAGATGTAATCGAAAGTGCATCTCGAGGTTATAAGACAACATAAAGGCTATATAATAATGTCTTGTTTACATTACACAGATCGTTTAATCGATAAATGCATTATAAATTCAGGCATTGAAACAAATTTGTTGTAAAATGGTCATTTCGCAGAATTTGTGACAAATTGTAGATATGTTAGTTTTTAAAAAAGGCAGCAAAGCAATACCTTTTTAACTAACAATGCATATCGTTTCGTCATTTGTGATATTTAAAGCAAATGTACTGTTGTTTTTGCATTACATATTCAATAATGTGTGGGTCATATATTTTCTTCTGTTTCTTTAGATGACAAAACACGATTCTAGCTGATTAGACAGTTATATCTTTATTTTAAGAAATTTTATTTGAGACCTATGTTGTAACAGGAGGCAAAAAATAACAAGAGACGACGGCCGCTTGACAAATGCCCGGACAAAAACGATTTTAAAATGCATGACCTAGTTACGAGTCTTGAATATTGACCAAAGTTTTATGGTCATATTGGTTTCATGTCAAGACTTATAGGCTTTGGAATGTGAACCCAAATTATGATACCGAAGACGTGTGGTAAGTTTCAAATGAAAACTTTCCGGAGTTTTAAAGATATCAATGTTTCATGTAAAACAATCTAAGTTCACAAAGGGCAATAATGCAGTCGATTGCAATCTCAAAAACATGTACATGTATACTGTTTCAAGAGAAAGCCTTTAGTAGTCTTGAAGATTGATGATGCATACATAGAATTACCAAAAGATCACAATTGCCATAATTATGTCAAAATAAATGCTAGAGATATGAACCTTGGGTAGTGAATTAATTTCATGATTTCAAATAAGTATGTGTATAAGGTTACAAGCAAATGTTTTAAGTGGTTAATGGGGCACTGCGATGTACAAGGTTTCTTCATGATGCTGAAACTGAAACGAAAAATTAGTTTTCTGAAATGGCGCCGGACTAAAATTCACCAATTTAAAAGGCATAGATCGTTTATAAATCACTGACGATTAACAAATGAGACAAAGAAGAAGAAAGCAATGTGTTTTTTGTTTAGAAAGTAAGATATTTAAATAATTTCAATCGCATAAAAATTGTCAATAAATCATCAATAATATCGAAATTCACAAATAAAGATAATATTTGTAATGCATAAAGTTTCACTACTAACCTCTATATTTCCATCGCTATCCGTTGTATACACATATATCCAGTCAGCCACTTGTATATATTGTGACAGTGTGAGTTAATCCTCACAAACACGGGGGAGGAAGTGTTACACGAAGGATGGAGTTCTTATGATAACTTGTTTGGAGTTCTCATTGATAACTGTCACGGAGTTCCTGGAAAACGTTACGGATTTCTGTGGAAAACTTTTCTATATACTTGGAGAACTCGCGTAAAAATGGTTATTTTTAACTTTAAATGGGGAGTTTGAGGTGCTAAATTTAACTTTGATAATTAAGCTTGCCCTACATATTGTATTTTGTTTCAGAAAAAATCTTTTAGTCCATATTTTGTCGCCTTTTTTTAAAAGAATCTGGTAGTTTTGAGAAAAATTACCAAATTACTTGCTAATTCGTACATATTGACCTTTTCATTTTGTGATATTCTTCGTTGCTATACTTAATTACCTAATTATTATGGAGAGTTGCAAACATAAAGCCAATGCTAATAAATTTATACCCGATTTTTCAAATGTTACGGAGTTCTTGCGATAACTCAAAATATGTCCTGGAGTTCTTATGATAACTTTTGTTACTGCCAGTGTGTTTTTGTGCTTAATCACGGCACGTTTAAGCGTATTTTATTAGTCAATAAGTGTGTAAATCATTATGAAGCATAGTCCGCTTATCATTTGCACAAAAAATTTGGTTATATAACGTTGGTTTTGATCGTGTTTTTCAGTTCAAGAGATATTTTTCTTACCTCCGTTTCTTGTGTTTTTTGTGATTGTTTTGGTCTTTTTTGTGTGTTTTTTTTTTTAAATTTTATTGGAATGGCTGTAAACATACTTGATGTAGAGAATTTACTTACAGGATAAAAATACGCTTCGAATTTAATACTCAAGCATGATTTCGTCATATATACATTATTCCTGGCAGTTTTAGAGAACATTAAGTAAACTATGCTATCGGTGTGCATGTAAATGGTTTTCAGCAAAATAGGAGGTAGTATGCACTACCTTTATCTAAATTTAATGAGACGGGTGTCGTTTTTTATGTATTCAACGGGTATTTCAATTTCTAAAAGGTATCAGTTTTTGTCATAGAAACGTATAAAGTTCTATGACTATGGTATGACGATAGAAAAGTAAGTCTGCAATAAGATATGTGAGTCACCGTAAGGTTCATCGTTTATCGACCTTGTCCTTTCTCTATTAAATCCAAATGTAACATCACGTGACGTACAGCAATCTCCGTATTTCGGAAAATTACTGCATACATTTTTCTTATCAAAGTTGGAGTCCTAATTGTGGAAATTTTGCAACAACTTTTGCTGTTATTGATTACAAAAATATATTGTCGAACTTCTTTCGCTCGAACCCGTAGGGCACGTGCAAATCTGTCGAAGAGATCGGTAGTAATCGGTTGATTTTTTATGCATAAAAAGATCATACATTTTGGGTGCATGGGTGTGAAGGGAATCCCGGTTATATACGATAAGTAATAGAAAGAGCACCGAAACACGAGGCTATCTGATTTGTACAAGGGGGCGTAGCCCCCGAGTATAAATCAGATTGCCGAGTGTTTTGGTGTTCTTTCTCTTTTGTATCATAGTCAAACATAAAAACACGTTCCCTGTTGTCACATTATTAAACCCCGGGAAAAAGTAACCAATGATCGAGCATCTGAATATGATATTTCTGCCGCTTTCCCTTCTCTGCCGTCACAATATGTAAACCCCAGCAAAAAATGAAGCCAATCAACGGGCATGATCTGGAGTGCGGGTAACTGATACCTGCACTCCAGTTACCGCACTGTGCATGTATATGTATACGATTTAAACTCTGACACTTTTTTCAAAGAAAGGTCCCCAAACTATGATACAAATGGTATATTATGATACAATTTACTTAGCCGCTTCTTGAGGGAAGCCCAACTTATTGTCTGCTTTAGAAAGGCGGTTGCTTAAAACATGTAACTGAGAAAAAAGTGTAAGTTTTAAACAATTTTTCCTTGGCGGTTTAAGCCATGTTACTGCTGATTCAGGTTTTCCTGAAGATTTCTTTTTCTTTGTTTGTTTCATTTTACGCCTTTTCCCAACAGTATTTCAGTCATATGGGCGGGTAGTTTCCTAACCATCGTTCCTGGAGAGTTACACCAGTACTAGACTACCTTCCTCCGTGCTAAACTACCAAAGCATTTCCCGGGGATCGAACCCACGCCAGAGGTAACTGGATTTAGAAGTCATCGACTAAAAAACACCTCGACCACGGAGGCGGTCGTTCCTGAAGATAGCTTAGCACCTGTTTATCCTATATAGACTGTACACAAAGCAGTTTCATGTCTTCTCCAGATTTATTGAATGATCGTGTTTTAATTTTGCCACATGCCTCAATGTTGCATTTTGCGGAAACATATGACATAAACTTTTGTTGACGAACAGTATACACAAAGACAATATTTAGTGCATTTCGTTGGGTTTTATAAAGTCAATATGATTTCGCACAAATTTAATTAGGAACTAAAACACGATCAAAACCAACGTTATATAACCATTTTTTTGTGCAAATGATAAGCGTACTATTCTTCATAATGATTTATACACTTAATTGACTAATAAAATGCGCTTTAAACGTGCCGTAATTAAGCACAAGAAACACACTGGCAGTAACAAAAGTTATCATAAAGAACTCCAGGACATATTTTGAGTTATCACAAGAACTCCGTAACATTTGAAAAATCGGGTATACATTTATTAGCCCGGGCTTTATGTTTGCAACTCTCCACTATAATTAGGTGATTATGTATAGCAACGAAGAAGATCACAAATGAAAAGGTCAATATGTACGAATTAGCAAGTAATTTGGAAAATTTTCTCAAAACTACCAGATTTTTTCAAACGGCGACGAAATATGGACTAAAAGATTTTTTTCTGAAACATAATACAATATGTAGGGCAAGCTTAATTATTCAAAGCTTAATTTAGCACCTCAAACTCCCCATTTTAAAGTTAAAAATAACCATTTTTTTTACGCGAGTTCTCCAAGTATATAGAAAAGTTTTCCACAGAAAATCCGTAACGTTTTCCAGGAACTCCGTGACAGTTATCATAAGAACTCCAAACAAGTTATCATAAGAACTCCCATCCTTCGTGTAACACTTCCTCCCCCGTGACAAAGAAAACATTGAAAAAGCACGAGAATTTCATGATTTAACTGTCAGTAGTCTTTACACTATAAAAGCAAGTTTTAAACGTTAAC